GTACCATCGTTAATATGAATTCTTGAATAAGAGCCCAGCCTTTGTTCGATTCTAAGAAATAAAAGCATTATAGGAAAACAAAGTTAAAGATGCTGTTTTAGTCTTAGCATGAAAATCATTTATATCTGAGATTTTTCAATGGACCTTGAATAAAAACACAGCTTAAGTCTTAACATTGATTTAGGCACATAAAAAAAAAACAAATAAAATATTCAAATTTGTCAAAGTTTGATTGAACATGAAAGATTGCGAATTGGAGAAATACTAAAACTTTAAGTATATCTTAAGATGCGACGAATTTTTGAGTCCTTTTTGATTCTTTGTAGCTTATTTGATGCTTTAGTTTACTTTTGTGCCCGCTGCAGATTTTGAACTTGAATTTTAAAATAGCTTTAAAACTATTATTTTATAATGAGATATTTATATTTGAGGTATCTACTCTCACATTCATCGTAGACACAACCACAATTGCAAGAGGATCTCAAGGGGGTTATCTTTTAGCTGTAAAACGGCCATACAATTCAGGCATTAGGCGTAAAAATTGACAAATTCTAACCATTAGTCGTAAAAAGAGTAAACCGTATATTTTTCCTTTCTACAGTGTGTCATTTGGTTAACATATAAGCGTTAGCCGTAAACGCTTTCAACCCATTGAGACTCTTGTGCCATTGTAAAATACAAAAAGTGACACGAAAGACTTTTAACATTTTAACCGAAAAACAACGGTTGAAAAAGGAACAAAATTCGCTCAAGCTGGGCCCTTACTATTGTGTTGGCTTTTACACAATGCTGGCTGCCTCATAAGGTCGCTTGGCTGCTCTTTCATTTACGCAGACCCATTCATTATCATCAAGGACTAAGAAATATTTTCAATGGAGCCATTCGTGAATTCAGAGGAAATCAACTTACCCATTAACAGGTTCGTAATCCACAACATACTTTCATTCCATCAAGATGACTTCATAAGCTAACCTTTTGTGTCTTTTGTGGATCATTGTGCTTCAGTGTTTCATAGGTCCTGCTCTGACCCAGAGAACTTTAGTTGTTAAATAAACGAATTGTTGTTACTGACACCGATCTGTTTCTGTTTTTTTGGTGAGACGGCTAAGAAAACAGGGAAAATCGATCCTTATTACCGGAACTACGTTGACCATGAACTGTATATCATCATCATCATCATCATCGCTCGTTGCGCCAGGAGGCGCATAAGGCCGTTACATTGTCCGCCCAACCCCCTCCCGTCACGTGCCGCCGCACTGGCCACATTACAACTCTTCTACCCTACCTTACCTCTCTCTCTTTCGAAAGTCCTTCCCCAAGTGGTCTTTGGTCCCCCTCTCATCCTTCAGCTCTCTGGTGTCCACCCCAATACCGTAAAACAGTCGTTCACATCCTCTCTCCTGAGTACTAGTCCTAACCTTTCCGCCTTCTTCTTCGCACCTCGCAGCTAATTTCACTGATCTCTGCTGTTTCAACTACTCTCTTGTTTGTCATTCTTTGCTGCCATCTAATCCTCAGAATCCTTCTTAGGCATTTATATTGGAAACTGTTCAGTTTTCTTTCATCGTTCTTTGTGATCTTCCATGTTTCACAACCATATAGTAGGACCGGTCTGACTATAGTCTTGATCTAGGTATCTTGGTTGGAATATCAAAACGCTGACCATGAAGTAACAAGTAGATGTGACATAAACGAACCGCGGAAGAAGGAAGACAAAGAAAATATGTGCGCATTCTGAGACATGGTATTGTTTTCCAATCAATGGACGAGGTAAACAGGTACGATAGTCTTTTGCTCGTGAACGAGTACGGCAACCTATACTTTTTATTGCATAATTTTCAGGGACAAATTATTCTCTTTAAATTAGAGAAATTAAAAAAAATTATTGGAGGAAAAGAGATACAACTAAAAGTGTAAAAGTGACCGACAGGAAGCACGGGAAAACTCAAACAGCAAGCGTCTCGACATCGTTCCCAGCCTCTTTCTCTAGTTAGAGGAAGAGAGATCCTAGAAACGTGATTGACTGCGTGATTCTGCTTCAAAAGAAACAGAAATTCGGGGGAAGATTCGGAAACGCTAAAACAAATTTCATCTAAAACTAAAAACTTAGTTGGTTGGGTCCCCGTGCAATGGTTGAATAATTTTTTTAAAGAGAAAATATATATATTTTTTTATATACTTAAAAGCCGTATTAGTAGTTCTGTCGCTTTTTGAGTTAACTTAGTCTCATACCCAGGCTCTTCATTCTTCCTGGGCAGAATTTAGCGTGGTCAGCCTGGGCACAAGTCAACAAGCATACAACTCTCTAACATAATAACACAAACATGATGGAACATCATCTTTAAAATAATTTATTTTTCATACTTCTACTTTTACTTCATATAACTTTCTTTCAAAATAGGAGAACGATGAAAAACTAAAAAAAATTATTTTTTAGCAAGTGGAGTGAAACATTGAACGTGATTGTCATAACTGGCCCCCATCGAGAGGTCATGAGGGGACTGCAACTTTCCTGTCCGCGGCAGTTGTTATAAAGGACTGGTACTTAGTTAACAACAACTGTCGTCTCTCGTTGACTACTGGGAGTGGAAGCAAGTAATCGAGCCTTCCTCCCAGCATCCCTTGCTTTCTGCAGGTGAGGCGGCAGAGGTATCTTGTCGAGTCGAGGGTAGTTGGGAAGACGCATAGCATTCTGGGCACGATCCAAAACAATGCTAACGAAAAAACGCAGCGAGATTAGAAGAATAGATGAGATTTTAAGAATAAGAATAAGATTTTAGAGTAATTTTGGTCCGACGAGGAGCACAGATTTCTACCAAGCTGCTACAGAACGAACTTGGTGAGGGAGGTTTGCTTAATCCAAGATTGCACTGTTTTGAGTTTGTTCCAAAAAAACTTGGGCTTATATCTCACCCAATCTGCTGCAAAAATTAACTCAATGCAACTTTCCCGCCTTCCAGCAGTTTGAATTCTGTTTGTTATTATTATTATTATTATTATTATTATCATTATTATTATTATTATCATTATTATTTTATTTTATTCTCATTACTTTTAACCAACAAGACATTGCCCGCTCTTTGAATTGCTTAAGGATAACAGGAAAGAAGAACCTTGCATTTCCCATACAGAAACGATTCACGAAATTGCGTAAGATACAGGGAAGATATATCGAACATTGAAATATTCTAAGATAATACGCGCTCTTATTGAAAAATATGTTAACGCAGTTGTGACGTCACGCTTTCTTTGCTTCCTGAGAAATATTTCATAAAAGCGTATCCTCATCTAAACACTCAAAGGTTTGGGAGAATTCGTGAAAGTGATGCAGACCCTTGACTCAGTCTATAGTTTTCATTACTTGCTTGAATTTTTCCAAAGACTACCATGTTTATTCGAGGTTATGTAAATACGGAAAAGTTCTCTATTGCTTAATTAGCGCGTAAGACGACATTGCTGGTTTTTTTTTGTTATTTAACAATTATCCGCCGAAGGCGAAGTGGATATTGTGGAATAATCCCCGCAACGAAGTCGAAGGGATCATTCAACAATATTCACTTAGTCTGACGCGAAAAAATTTCTTAGCATAATTGCTTAGGTACTTTCGAATTCTGTCGTAAATATTTGTTTTGATGTTGAAACCATTCTTTTCAATCACTTTGATAACTCGTATCGAGATATAGAGCCAGAATTTGATAGGTTGACGTTCCTTTAATTCAATCAGCAAAAACTTCGTATCTTCCTTTCGAAGAGTGTTACTCTAAACCTAATAGCATCTTCTGAGCTCTTCGGAATTTAGTTTTCTTTATCGCGTTCATCACTTCCTTGATAACACTGACATAACACTGGTATAATATTCACGACGCGCGAGGTGATTATAGCGAGATATGACGCAACCCTCGACCAATCAGAGCGCGCGCATCTCTACAATCACCGGAGCAAATATGCTAATCAGCACTAGACTGTTTCAGGCGTTCATTTAGTAGGACGAAGCGCGATTGTAGCGGAGGAGTCAAAAAGCGAGAGAGGCTGGGGTAACCCGAACCAGCCCTCCTTCGTCTTCGCTCTGCCGCTATTAACGCGTCGTTTACTATTTCACTTCGTTTAACTGACTCATCAGCAAGAACAGACACTTACTTCACAAACTGTTTGACTTCAGCCAGGTGCATCTCGTAGCTGTCTCTACTCGTAGGAGGCTTTGCTTTGGCAATGGCCTAAAAAAGCCAGACAAGACAAGATCAGAACAAGTTTTCCTCTTGACTTACAACTCAACTTTCATTAGTTATGTGCCTACTGTATAATGTACTACATTTCTAGCCGGTGTACAGCCGCCCCTTTCGAAAAAAAAGTCGATCCTATTCGGACGGTAGGGGTCGCCGCACTCAGGCTATTTGGCTTCTACATTTCTGACTTTGACGTAACTGTAAACTGACCAAACTTTATCACATCAGCCAATCAAAACAAAAGTTAAATTGTCACAAGGAGCCAATGAGAACTCAAATTTAAACAAGCACGCTACCTCAAGCGCGGGAAAACGAGAGCGGCCGAGAGGTGATTGGTTTTATTCTACATCTGATTGGTTGAGGGAATGACGCGAATGTTCTAGACCAATCACAGAGCGAAGTTAAGCCAGCCCAAAACCAATCTCAGATAACTTTTGTAACTCGCTTGGTAATTTGTTCCGAGTCGAAATTGTATGAGCAAAATTTTCAAGGTAACTGCAGTTTAAGAGAGAAAAAAATTTAGCCCGATGCTTTTAATTAAAATTCGGAAAACTTTCTGGTGTGTATACGGCCTAAATCATTTAAAGGACCAAACCTATTAAGTTAAAACTCGATTGATGAAAAATTAAACCTGTACGCTTTCTAAAACGAGTAGTCAGAAGGAATGGTATAATATTTGAGAAAATCCCTGGTTACGAATAATTCAATGATTATAATTCAACACACTCAGTCTTGTAGTCTTATGACAGTCTTATAACTTACCACCGATTTATGATAAGTAAAGATCAGTTTTTTATTTAAAATGAATACCTTAAGTTTTGCACCAACATTAAAGCGAGCTGTATGTTTTCCATAATTGAAGGTAAGAACAATTTTATTCTGAAATGTAATGAAAAAGTGGTTAGTAGATTCAGAATTTAACCTAAACAAGAGTGACGAACCATTAATTTCACATTATTTGAGCGTTTTCAAAACATTTTAAATTTTGGTTCCTCACTTCAGAAAACCATTTCACTTTAAAACCTCTTACCTGTGATAAACATCTGATTGACAGCTGTTTGGTGATCAGAAATGTGATTGGTTGAAAAGGCGGAGCGTGCACGTGTTCTTTCGTGTTATGCCACATCCATTTCTTCCTGCGAGTCCCGTTTTTGTCCAAAAGAACTCCAAAAAATGGATTTAACACTAATCTACACAGATACCAAGAAAAGGGAAATAAAGTGTTAGCCTCTAAAACATAACAATCCATTTCTAAAGGTTAATCTTGTCGTTGTCTTCAATAAATTGATAAAGAAATGTTTCATTGTCTATCTCATGGTGAAAACCGCGAAGCCAGCAATTAAACATTCATTCATCAAGTGCTTGCTATCGTGACCACGACGAAAACAAAAAGTTCCCATCGTTACCGTTATCGTTATCGTTACCATTTCCATCGTTACCATTATCGTTACTATCGTTAACGTTAACAATGTGGTCATCGTTACCGCTACCGAAATCGTTGCCGTGATCGTTATCATCACAAGTTTGTAGTCTTCCTTAAAAAGTGAAAAGAAGAGCATTTGATAAATAAAATCAACCTGACTGATCCATTTCTGAAGTAACAAGTTCCGTGTCCAGAGGGTTCAAATATTCCCAACATGTGTGATGGATTTGATTCGTTTTCTTCTTCGTCCTGCGGCCAGAACAATAAAAAAATCACCATAGTTTGTCGGGTAAGTAATACCCTCAGAAACTTATAAACAATTCTGCTTTTCATCTCGTGTTAAATTAGACAAGCAACGAACAGAGATCGAAGCGAAATCAAACTACTCTTTATTTCCCTCCAAAATGAAAAAAAATTCTGTTTAGTAGCTCCCTGTTAGTCAACGACACAAGTAAAATGTATGCTGTAAACAGGTGAAGTTTGTTTTTATGAAACCGAGCTAACTAAATGGTTAAAAGTCGGGTAAAAACCGGGGTGTCAATTGATACTTAAGACAAGCTAGTCAATATTAGTGTTACTTTACTTTCCTTTTATTGCTTGAATGGCGCTAACGAAACTCGTCAATTTGGTTTCTTCTCAAATAAAACAAATGTCCTGCTCATTTTTCGGCATGCTAACATTATTGTACTGTATACTTACATCAAATACGATGTACGTAAATTTTCCTTTTTCTGCAGCAGTTATCATTACCGCAATGTTACCGCTTGGATAACTGAACAATGGCGTTAAGGGAAAAAATGAAAGCACGTTTGGATTTAACAATCGACAAAAGCAACCACATGAGCGGTTTTAACCCTTCTCGTACGAGTATCACCCTTGAATCACAAATTAAGGTCCGGAAAAAGAAAATGATCACCAACTGAAGAAACTCTTGACTGTTACACAAATTCTCCTCGTCAGCGCCTTAGGAAATGTCTAGAGAACAGTGAGGGGAATTCGTGTAATGATATTAGGGTGCAAATGGTTAAAAGGAAACCCAGTAAGAAAGCGGGCGACACACCGCACAACTATTTAATGTAAGGGACCTCGTTTGCAATACTTCATCCCTCGAATCTATCTATTTTCGGCCGTCATCACTCTCTTTTAACCCTTTAACTCCCAAGATCTCATAGGTAATTCTCCTTACTATCTGCCATATAGTTCTTGTGATGTTAGTTTGGAGAATTTGGTATGGGATCAACTAAAAATCCTCTAATTGATACTTTTCTTTATTCTCATCACTTGTCTGCTTGATATTGTATTGATATTGTAAGGAGAAATTCTGTCTTGGTCACTCATGGGAGTAAAAGGGTAAACATAAAGAATATTCTCCTCTTCCGTCATTGAACACTTTCATTATTGAGTTGAAAGCAGTCAGGTCTAATAAAAGGATACAAGCAGGTTCCAGTGCCATCCGGGAGAAGTAGGAGAAATCTCTTTTTGTTCTCATAAAATCTCTCCAGGAATGCCTGTTTCCTCTTTAAAGGAAAAGATAAATGTTTTTCAGCGTCTCTTTGAACCACAATATAGATTTGCAAGCAAGAGTACTTAAGAAATTAAGAGCACAAGTTTTTAACACGCTCTGGGAAGCTGGAAGTTGAGAGTTCTTTTCTATGGCGCTAACTACAGGCCCCGGTTGTTCGAAGGTCGGATAACGCTATCCACTGGGATAACGCTTTACGTTTTGCAACCATTGACGTTTTTCCATGGAAATTATTGAAACTCCTGGCCTTAGCACCAATTCTTTTCACGAATTTCCTCATCCAGACGATCATGCGCTTTACTTTTGACAAGAGTTTGGACTACAGCCAATCACAATGAGCCAATGAGAACTCAAAGAAAAAAACAAACTGCGCGAAGCGCGGGAAAACACAGGTGACCAGGTCACATCTGATTGGTTGAGAAAGCGGTGGAAAGTTTTCTAGACCAATCACAGTGGGTAGTAAAGTATAACCATTGCAACATAGAATTTCTTTCGAAATTCAATTGAAAATTTCTCTATATACTGATACTTACGAGTTGAAGAGGATTAACTTCAATAACAAACGGATCTTGTACTTGTTCGTTATCCGTGAGTGACGGCGATGGCGGTCGAACCGTCCAACCTTCCTCCATACACTTTGTAGAGGCTAAAGAATACGTAATGGTCTTCATCTGACGTGTCACTAAAAATAAAAGAAAACGGCAAAGAGTTATAATGCTGAGTGGTTCTGAGGAAGAAAAAATACACCCATTTCATTGGAGGAAATGAGCAGTTTTAGAGGACTCAACAGATCTTAATTTAATAATTCTAGGTTGAAAATCGAAAGCAATCTAGGATTTTTTTGGTTTGCTCTACTTCGCTCTGTGATTGGTCCAAAACACCAACACCATCTTCTAAACCAATCAAATTCAAAGTAACACCAATTACAATTTGGCCACACGCGTTTTCCCGCGCTTCTGAAGGTTTGTTGTTTCCTTTCTTCTGATTGGCTGATGCGATGGCCCATCCTTGGCATAATATGAGTAAAACAAAGTGCATAAGTGAAGGGTGGGATATTAACGGCGGGCGAAAAAAGGAGAGAAGCCTAGGACGGGTCGACCCAAACCTCCCTCTATGTTCCGTTCCACTACTAACAAACCGCCGCTAACTCTCACGCCCCTTTTCACCAATTGAACATGTGCAAGGGTCGAATGTTGTGATTACTTTGGTTTTGGATTAACGACACTCGATCGAAATGCGCTCTAAAAATGTTGGATTTGTGCCACTTACATGCATAGAAGTTTGTTGGATTAGCACCAGCTGCACGTTGTCTCTCCATCTCACGTTCCCGCGCACGCTCAGCTGCTCTTTCCTTGGCTGCACGCCTCGCAGCTTTGGTCCCATATGGTGGGTGGGGCTTGATGTCAATCATCTCGTCCGCTAGATGAGCTGTGTCGCCCCTCTGCGCGAGCTCAAACTTAACGAGGCGTTCATACTGAGGACAGCAGTAGAGCTGGTGGAAAACAGTGCATGTTCGAAACAATTTTTATTCATGTTTTCCTATAGTTTGTCATTATGAGTGATGTTTCTCTAACAACAGAAAATGCAAACTGAGTAATCAGTACTATATCATCACTCTAGTTTCAGGGGCAAATCCATAAATATTTGATGGTGGGAAGGGGGGCACACTTTGATTCTGAAAACACCGAATTTTTCCTTACACTATAGCCTAAAAAGGCCATGAAATTTTTCAGGATAAGTAAATCTTTAAAATTCACCATTCCCAACCCTCTCCTTTGGTCTGCCATTAAGTTTCCATAGCATTAAGCAACTAAGAGAACTACAACTACCCCGGGGTACTATTTCATCACAGGTTACCCGCTCCTCCTCCCCCCCTCCCCACTTTTGGAAAGTGTCTAAGGGATATATTTACACATCTTAGTATAAAGTGAACCTGAAAAACAGTTCAATTTGTTGGAATTTTCTGGTAACAAGCTTCACCAGTGTAATATCTTCAGTGTTCTCCCTTCCTCAAAGAAAGACAGGGAAAATAAATTTTCAAATGGGAAGAGCAATTCTTTCAGCTGATAAATTTCAAGAATTCCAAGCAATTTTAGGCAGCAACAAGAAGTACTACAGGTGGCAAATTTTATCAGTCATCATCTGAAAAGGGGAACACTGTATCTTAAACCATAAATCTTTTTCCTCTTTCCTTAGTCCATATTTTATTACCTGGTCTGGAGTGAGTCTCTCTAGCTCTTCCATTGTTGGAAATGGCAGAACTTCCTGTTGACAAAACATGCAAGGCCCACTAAACAAGCTCTTCTTCAACATCTCATTCTTGGCTAGTTCCTGTCGATCTTCAACCTCTTCATTAGACAGGGGAGGGTGCTGAGACTCCTTCATGTACTGCAGAATGGCTGGAGGACCGATGCTTGGCAAAAGAAACTCCTGATCAAGTTCATAATCCTCATACTCATCTGAACTACTACTAGACTCAAGTTCTACTGTGGGTGGTCGGAAGAGAATGTCCTCCCCCTTAGGAGTGCGAGGAAGTGATGAGACCACAGACTGCCGAGATCTCGGAACACCTCCTGATGACTTTGATTTGCTTCTTCCTGTGCTTCCTGCATTGGGAAATAACAGGAATGTCACTACATGACTACATGTCTGCATATCTAGATGTTCAAGAGGTCTATTTTCACTTTTCTTTATTTGCTACAAAAGACCTACTGGAGTGCTCTTTGGCCTTCCAAACCATCCAAGGGTATCTTGTGTATCACAGAATTATAACAAAGATTTGGGAGCTGTGCAAAATGGTCTAAACAGAGAGCTGTAAGATCACAGAGCACAGTTTCAACATGATTTTGTAGAACTAGATTTGGATGACCCAGCACTCAACATAATCCAGCCAAGGCACCAAAATGATTTTAAAAAGCAAAGTATCTCATTTACTAACCTAAAAACTGTATGATGAAACAATTATCTTATCTATTTCATAATCCAAGCTGATACTTGCTGCTGTATTCCAATGTATGGTTTTGTGGGTTTTAAGTGTGAAACAGGGTATACAATTTGAATATCTAGACTCTCAAACATCCATCTTTTCATATCCCAAAGGGCGGGCTATTCATGCAAGGTCTAACCCAAACCACGATTTTATATGATCAATGGGTCTCAGTCTCTCTCTAAGAAGGTAATTTAATTAAATAAATGTCATTCCACTGTTAACTTTAGGCCCTCTTGACACTGCTCGCTTGTTAAGTTAAAAGGTTCAGTTGAATTGAGGGTTGGTAAGGATGTAGTTTTGTAGAACAACAGCTGAAACTTTGTTTATATAACCAGCCCAAAGTCTCAAAAAGAGCAAGACTGTGTTAAATTTACAACTTTGTATGTCCAGCTTTCATAATACTATTCTTTTCATTTAAAACATAAATGTTCTGTGTGAATATCTCAGTGACATGCCTTATTTCATAACAGTTGTCATTTAATATGGTAACACAATGAAAAAATGTCCCCTCAAACATGGTCAGGGTTTAAAGGCCTCCAAGGCAGCCCACCCCCCCCCTTACAAAAAATCCTTCTAGTGTCCCCCTTACACCCCTCTCCCCTATTTTTGTACCTTCTTCTGCTCCACCATGATCATGTCTTCCTTCATTTCCTTCTTCTACATCTGGTAGGAATTCATTTTCTTCATCCTTTGCCTTTTGTGTTTTGTCACTACTTGTGGAGGTCTTCCTTGTTGCAGGTAACGACTTTCTCCTCCGTCTTTGGACTGAACCATGGCTGTTTGCTAAAAGAGAATCAAGTATGCTATAAAAATTAACCCTTTCACTCCCAAGATCTAATTAGTAATTCTCCTTACTATCTACCATACAATTCTTATGATGTTAGTTCAGAGAATTTGGTATTGGATCAACTAATAATCTCATAATTGATATTCTTCTCTATTCTCATCACCTGCCTGCTTGATATTGTATTGATATTGTAAGGAGAAATTCTGTCTTGGTCACTTGTGGGAATGAAAGGGGTAACCTATTTTTCTTCCAAGTTAAAATTATATTTTTATCATAAATATTTCATACTGCATTAAATAGATGCACAATTTCAATTTTATTAACCATATAATACGACAAAAAAAATCACTGCTCCAGTGAGCTCAAAAGGCTCTCCTTCAGGTTCTTCCATAAATCTGCCATCTTGACACAAGTTGTCTCAAAATTGAATCACAGTCAAACTCCTAACCTGAGATTGATCAGGAATTTGCTAAATCTTGTTTTGGTTTTTTACAATCAATCTCCTAAATATTCCCTTCTGTGAGGTGAGGAATTCTCCAGTACAGTATCAATTACTGACAATAAGCTTCTGGTCCTGGTGGTTTGGAGGATAGACAGTATTATCCACCAGATAAACCTCAATCCAGTGGATAGCGCAATACATTTTGCTACCATGCATCTGCTGGATATTGATTTATCCATTGGATACCATTTATGAATTTTGAAAAACTGGGACATGATCCTCTTTGTGGGCTGTGCATCAAGCCCTTTTTCACTTCAGCACCTACTACACAAAATTGTTGCCAGGGGGGACAAATGTACTAATTGTCAGGGGGTTGGAGGAGGGTAAGTGGATGTTGATATAATTATTTTGTCATTCTGTTGATATATTACCTGAAGGTGACTTTGGAACTTCTTTGGACATTTTCTTCTCTGATCTTTCAGCCCATTCAGGCTTTGATCTGGTTATGGTTTCCTGATACAATTCCATGTCCTTTAACCAACTCCATTCAGTTTGTGTACAAATTGATACCACTTCAACTGTTTTGTTTTCAGTATGAGATATAAAACCTCTTTCTTTTAGAGGTTCCTCGTCCTCTTCAGCATTTTGAAAAGACACCTCTCTCTTATTAATTCCTGTTGCTACGGACGACAATGAACTTGCAGATGATGGTCTACTCAAAGAGGAGTCTTTGTTATAAAAGGGAACTTCCTGAGAGGCAGGCTGAAGTTCTTCTGTCCCTGAAGAAACATGCCTTTCTCTCGATAGTTCATCTTGAAGTTCGCGATCGGTATCTTTCCCATTTTCTTCTTGAATCTTGTTTAAGGTATTTGGGGGAATATCACAAGCAGCTATTAACATACCACGTATCCCTGATTGGGGAATATCACCTGAAAACTTATTTGGATTTACAATTCCTCTAGCAGCAACATCAGCTGAAAGTTGTTCTGCGTCCAAATGCGGTTCTTGTTTATCCACGTTGAAAACATCGTCTTCTAAATGTTCTGGTGAGCTAGTTCTGCTTATTACTGAAGAAGCACTTGAATCTGCGCGTGGAATTTGCTCTTCTGTGGGAGCTAAATCCCTATGATCGCCTTCTTTCTCCTCGTTCCCACTCATTTTAGTTCGTTGTTTTTAGTTGAGGAATTTACAACATGGAAAGCAACGTACACTGATCAAATTTCAACATAGCCTACCCTAAATTCTCCACAGCGTCTGCTTATATTTCGTGAATCCATTAAGACAAAAGCTCTTTCTCCTGCATCAAGAGATCTTTTCGAAATGAACAGAAACTCCGGAAAACACTTTGACTTTGACTTTGAAAAGTCGCGAAGCCAAAAACAATGGAATGTAGTTGCCATGAGTACACAGCCTCAACTTCAGGAGTTTAAAATAATTTTGTCTAGGGTAGGGTAGTGTTCGGAAATCTCTGAAGATAAACGAATATGACCTTAGAACTCGGATAATAACTCGGGTAATATTCGTAATCTCCGAATATTTTTCTCCCCACCCGTGGTAAGTGGCGTAGGAAGCAGCTTCTCGGAAAAGTTGTTCGTTGAGAAACTGAGCGCAGTACAAAGGTTATGTCTACGGTTGTCGCATGGTCTGATTGAAATTCGTCTATGATCAATATTCCTTCTTCCTTTCTGGTTGCTAAGAAGTGTCTCGATGCCCGGAGAAGTCGTCGCAGACGAAGCTTTCGTAAGTCTTGTGACTAACAACAGTTACGCCAATGGCGCGCTTGTTCTCGGCTACTCCCTCAGACGAGTCAATACCACAAGAAAGCTGGTTCTTCTCGTTGCTAAAGAAGTTCTGGAACCGACCAGGTACGAATCCCCAATAATAAATCAACTTTAATCTTCTCTTTTGAGCAAGATCTCGTACACAGACAGCAATCTTTTGTTCATTTTCAATTTTTTGTTTTCTGCAATTTATGCAAGTTTCACAACCTGACATGAGTTAAGTGTTGTGCTCAGTTGGCATTAGGCGAGCTTCAAATTACCTAGATGTCAGGCTGTAATATCGCATTTTCACCAAAGGAACTTGTACAAAAATATATCAATGTCTTTTGATGATATATTCGCCCAAGAAAACCGCCAGATGTGTTCCTCGCATCTGCTTGCTTCAGACAGCCACTTCCTTCACTCGAGGGGATAGCTATGTTTGTTTACGCAAACTGTTTCAAAATGGAATCCAATTACTAATGCAACCCACTTGTGATTGTAATAGATTGACAGGGTGAAGTGCAGGATTTTCTCATGTAAAGCTATTTTTTTTTATTTTGCCTTTCAACAACTTCAAATAGTCAACAGTTCATGTTAGGAAAACTTATGTAATACACCTTTTTCCTCAAAACACACCGTCGGAGACGAATCAGGGTTTGTACAGTTTATGATGAATCTGGAAAGATATACGATTTTCTTATTTCATTTCGCAAGCCTAGGAAGTTCTGGAACGTCTTAATTTGTGTGGGAAATGAATTGTGAAAAAATCTGATTGAATTGACATTTTCATTATGAAAATCGGTCATGCAAAACTTCAGAATGGTTCTCGTTAAAGACATGAAAGAGTCATTCATTTTTGCAAAATTGAAAGAGCATGAACCTTGAAAATGAAGTGTAGAAGAAGAGCCACAAATTTTGCTGTAGTTTTTTGCCTAAAGTGCTAACAAATCAGTATCCAAATATGAAAGTTTGTTGGCTGAAGAGGACATAAAAAGAAGACATTTTTCTCAAACAGGCTCAGAGTGTGAAGGCCTTGGAGGTTATAGCAAACCTCCCCCCCCCTCCCCCCCCCCCCCATCCAGATTTTTTTTTTTTTTTAAGTACTCCTTAGGACCTTTTCAGGTTGCAATCCAATGCTTGTATCTTTTTATTTGATTGTGCTTCTAGATACATTTTTACATGTGAGTTAGAACAACAAAAACACTGTGCTTGCATTGTATTCCAGGCAACGTCTTGCCCGAGTTTGGGATCACTTAGAAATTGTGGATGTTCTTGACAGTGGTGATGCTGTAAACTTAGCACTCTTATCAAGACCAGAGCTTGGTATAACCTTTACAAAAATTCACTGTTGGAACTTGACACAGTATAGAAAGTGCGTGTTCTTAGACGCTGATACTTTAGTGGTTCAGAACTGCGATGAACTCTTTGAGAGGGATGAGCTGTCAGCTGTTCCAGATATTGGCTGGCCTGACTGTTTCAATTCTGGTGTATTTGTGTTTGAGCCATCCAGAGCAACCTATGAAGCTATCTTGGAGTATGCTGTTCAGAATGGAAGTTTTGATGGTTAGCTCTATTTAACTCTCTACACCCTAACATCAGTATGTATTTTCCCCATACTGTTCTCTATACATTTCCCACGGTGCTGACAAGGAGAATTTGTTTAACAATCATTATTATTTTGACCTCAATGTTTGATTCAGAGGTGATATTACAAGGAAGAATTAGATGCTGGTCACTCTCAGGGGAGTGTAAGTGTTAACTACCAGAAGTAAATTGGCCTTGGAAAGTTGTCGAAATCTGTTTAACACAAGCAATAAAGTTTTCAGAATTTATGTTATAAGAAATGTATGTAGACTGTAAAGAGAGTTGATTTTGAAATCTCAGGAGTAAAAGGGTTTAAGATGAAGTTTGGAGTCCTGGAAAAATCAATATGAGTCCCAGAAAAATCCTAAAAGTCATTGAAATTTGTTTCTGAGAAAGGGTAGGAACCCTGTGACTGGGTAGGTCATTTGGGTCAATTTCAGACTATCCTTTGGTGCTCCGTGTTACCAATAGACTGTATCACACTTTCACCATTTTAATATGATACTCATTTTTTTTCTCAACAACAGGGGGAGATCAAGGACTTCTGAATTCATTTTTCAGCAACTGGAGAACAGCACACATATCTCGGCACTTGTCATTTATCTATAACATGAATTCCAACGCCAGTTACACTTATGCTCCAGCTTTCCAACAGTAAGGAACATTGTAGAGTATTTTTGATCATTTGGTGCAACCAAGGACAGATTTTGAAAATTATATGTTACTCCTTCCTGTTACCCAACAACATGAAAATTCTACAGGCATCTGATACAAGATGAATGCTAAGCTTTTTATAGCTCTTGTCAGTGCTGGTATGCTTACTCTACTTTTCCTTGAGTAAGTCATTCCTATCACTTCCCTTTTGTTAGTGAGAATGAACCAAAACAAGACAGAAAGAAAGAATATTGGCTAAGGGTCAGCCAGATTTCTGGAAAATCCTGCTTGGTTCCTCAACCCAATCTAATCCCAACCCAATGTTTGAAGCATTATCAGAAGTATTGATCCAAAGAATACTTTTCTTGTTGTAGGTTTGGTAGGGATGTAAAAATAGTTCACTTCATAGGGCCCCTTAAACCCTGGCATTACACATATAACTCTGAGACCAGCAATGTGTACACGCCATCTAGAGGTCAGGGTTATGTTCCACACGAGCGAACTTTCCTGCAGCTATGGTGGGACATTTATGTCACATTTGTGCGGCCTGAAATGAGAGTAAGTGAAATTGTCTGTTGTCAAATTGGAATTAATCTGGTGCTTGTCAGGATAATGTGCATCAGAGTTGATGTTTGCTGAGTTAGTCTGAAAGAGATAGCAGTTTCATTGGTGTTGTTAATGGTTGTGTGTGTTGTTCCCTGTAAGTTGTCTCAGTGTTCAGCATCTATAGATAGAATTTTCAAATTGGTGGGTAATAACAATAAATAAAATTGTGATTGATTTAATTGCACATTAAATCACATGCAAGAACTAGTTAACCCTTTAACTCCCAAGATCTGATTGTCAATTCTCCCCACTAGCTGCTACACACTTCCTTGTTAATTGTTTATTATGAGAATTAGGTGTTCAATCAAGGTAATGAATTGTACCTGATGAGTTTGAGTATTCTCATTACCTGTTTGCTGTATAATGTACGGATACTCTAGGGAGAAGTTACATGTCAATCACTTCTGGGGGTTGAAGGGTTAAGACTAGCTATACTCAAGTAAATGGTAATTGAAATTGTTACATATTAAAGTAGCACTATTATAATGGTAAATTGGCTTAAACTGTAAATAATTTGATGCACGCACATCACTTTTTAGTGTTTTAAGTCTTTTAGGTGTTTGAAAAAAAAACATTCTTAAAAGTAGTCAGTAGAAAGTATCACCTGTAATGATGATAAAGCACTTCCGAGATTTACATTTGCTATTAATGAAATCTGGTTTATTTGTGTTCATGTATTTGTCATCCAGTGTGTCTTGTCTGAAAAAAAATGAAAAAGTGGGAAGACATATTTACCAAGAAGAACAGTTCTTGTTTATTAGTCATGTCATTATTATTAGTCATTTTGTTTTTTTTTTTTTTTTTTTTTGGGGGGGGGGAACCTTGCTTTGCTGAGATGATCTTTTTTCATTCATACATGTATCATGCATTGTTCGCTGTGGCCTATCCAATGAGTTTATCATTCTCAGGACCATTTTTACTTGTCTTGCTTAGCAATGCCATGGTGGCGGAGGTGGAGACTCTTCACGCAGTGATCATTTCCAGCCTGCACCGCACTATCCCCCTCAGCACCATTTTGAACACACTCCACCCCCTCATCAATTTGAACATGAACCTTTCATACCCCCACCCCCACCCCAACAGCATTATGAAACACCACATCACCCTAACCCACCCCCTCAACATCATGAATCTCCACACCACCCCCAACAGGAAAACCATCCACCCCCACCCCCTCCTCACAGCTGGCCAACAGAGACGCCTCAAGGTTTTCAAGATGTTCCAGCAATTAAACATGTAGGCATTATTTGTGCAAGTGTGTGCTTGTGTGTGTTTACTTTGGTATAAATTGTACCATGTGCAATTTATGCTACATGCATGTGTGTGTGCTGCATTGAAACATGTTTATTTGCATTACATTTCTTGTACTCTTTACTTTGAGTTGAGATTTCTGCTTTGTGCTTTGTGCATGCTGCCTCATCCCACTTATGATAAATCAGTCTAACCTCTTTATTTATACAGGTTTTAATACAAACTTAATGTATCAGTAAGCATCCAAATTTGAGGGACTATTTTTGTAAATATTTTTAAATTACTGAGCTAATTATGTATGTACATGCAAAGGCTTAATTTATACTGTTGTAAATATCAAAGTGCACTGAAACATCAAGCTTCTTTGTATTCCCTATGGTGCCGCTGGCAGCTTTTATCATATGTGTAACTTATGGTTTAATGTTAATAGAAATGTCTATATTAATTTTGCAAACATTGATAGTATTGGTAATAGTTGCATAAAAGTATTGCTTTGGATACTAACTTTTACAATACTGCTGTTAATTGGCACAGTGTTAGATAAGAATTGAGATATCTTTCCTTTTACAGCTGGGATAACTGTAGAATTAAGAAATCAAAAACATGAAAATTGATCCAAGATGAGAAGTCCATTACAGTTACAACATAAAAGAGGACAAAATTGCACTGTTTCACTAAGATGTTCAAATTTCTTGTCAAATACCTTGCTGTTTGTTAAGTCACTGATTTCTAATTGGTTACATTTCTTTCCTGCAAGTCTTAAATTCAGCCATTTAATGTTTTTAAGACTGTCTTGATCTCTTTTCAATCCATTTCCAGGAGGTGGAAGGGCTAGCCAATGGATTGTCAGATATTTACATCTCAGATCATGTTGTCTCGGATTCAAACCCAGAGGTTCAAGAAATTTCACATCAACAGGCATGGGAAAGAGGCGAAATTGATTACAGAGGTCGTGACAAGTTTGAAAATATCCAGAAGAAGATTCAAGAATCTATAAATGTGTTGAGAGATCCCACTGAGGCACCCATGGTTTTGTTTTAAGAGGCAAAAGAGGGCACTGTCCTCAAGATTTCATGTGAGAATTTTCCTTTTATGAGAGAACCTTAGAGATGGAGGCAGTTGTGGCCAAGAATGAAGGGTCAGTGTGTGGTGTTAAATGATCACCAGTTATGTCGTAAAGATTGAAACCAAAAAAAAAATGATCCCATTGATTGGGCAAACCTTTCTCTTGTATTGAATACAGTCGAATAATATATTTGAAAGGAATTGTTTGTTTTACGTGGTATATAAACCCCAAATTTTATTGTAACTTGTGGGAAATGCATAGGGAGTGAAACCAAAAACAAAAGCATGAAAGTGATGATCCCATCCATCGTGCAATCCTTTCTCTTGTGTTGAATACAACAGAATAATATATTTGAAAGGTATTGTTAGTTATACCCTGCTCATAAACCCAAAGGTTACTATAATTTTTGGCAAATGCACTGAAAATTAAAATTAATAAAATTGAGAACAAATTCATGTTACAGGATCAATGTTGATATCTGAGCAGCTGTGTACCTACCCCCCTCCCCTATCCCAACAACAGTCAATTGATAACAAATGAGGGTTAATGTTGGATTAGGGGAGGGGTAGGTGTGCAGTTATTTGGATACTGACAGTGATATATAGTAGTCTGTATTTAACTAAGTATTTTTGGTTTTGTGTCTTGTTTGTGAAATCTAAATTCACCCCACTCTGGGGTGAATATTCTATTCATGTTTATGTCAAGAATAGATATCAAAAGATGTACTGCATGTATATTCTTTTTAAGTGAAATAATTAGGGATGTACATTTTTCTTCTTTACATAAGAGCTCTATTTATTCATTTAGTGCAATTCTTGAAAATGAGCTTAGGAATTTTGTGAAATGTTTTATTTTATTGTGGTAATAATCTTGTGATAATCAGTATTTAGATTGTTTCTAGAGTGCTGTGAAATACGACAGTGCATGCAAACATGCAAACAATTGTGTCACTGTAATAAATAGGAGCTTAGTCAGATGTAAGAACCCTAGAAAACTCCCACATTCAAGACCACCATTTTGGTGTACTTAATTTCTGGCGGAACCTGTATTTGGTCGTTAAGATCAACTTTCAATACTATACCCTGCAATCTTCTCTCAAGATTTTCAATTTCATTTCGTTTGTATTGCATGGCTTCTTTCAAAAATAATTACAACTATTGCACAAACACGAGCATTCTAAAATAGTAGGATTACATCATATCAAATCAAATTTGGTGCTCAGGAATAAAATAATAAACATGATGGTTTGAAACCATGTGAAGTTTTCATGATCCTGTAACTGGGGTATACCGAGTAGAGTAGTTTATCCCAGTTGGTTGTGGTTTGGCACTGATGAGAATTATTAGTGCTAGACCTCCAGCAAACCCCTTGTGACTGATCTCCAGTCTTTCCCCTGGCAAATAAATGTGCACCCTGCAGCCAATATGACCCAACCAAAACATTTATTAAACAATAATGTGTCTAACAACTGCATTTTTGTCTCCCACCAGGGAGAAACATGAAATCTTTGTATCTTGTCACTGCTTCATGAGAATATGAACACATGCATTTCGTTCCATTCTCACCTGTTCTGATAACACATGAAGTCAACAAACTGAGCAAGTTGAGCTTACACAATTAAAACTGCTTCTTTATGTTGAACAATAAAATATATTGTGGCCGAAACATTTTCAGACAGTGCTTGTCTCTGCCCCAGCCCTCACCTAGTACAAGGGTGGAGAACTGTGGCCTGAGAAGGGTACCTCTACCAAAAACTCTACGAAGCATCTGCATTAAGGTGTACCCTGTTTTTTCTTTTCCATCTACATGGGTGAACTACAGATTAATTAACTCTTCCCATCCTCGTGGCCTCTTGAAATAAACCCCCTTTTCAGCCTGGGAATTCTTTTTGTTGTAACTGGTTTTCTTTGATGCTTCAAGAACAGTAAAAATACCAAAATGATCACTTGGAAGGACACCAGATTTTGTCATTCTATCATCCACAACTGTTACCTCTTTCACTTTAAAGCCTGATAGTTTGCAAAAGACACGATCCAGGCGATCCTTCAAAGTTGATTCTCTCTCTCTCACAATGAACGGATTTCTCCGCTCGTCCCAAGTGTAACCATTACTGTCTGTATGTCCAGGAATTGCAAGCCACGCGTCAATCCACTGCACAGGAAGAACGACATCACCATCAAATTGACGTTCCAGATTCATATCACCCATCACACAAACATTTCCAAACGTAGAAAGCATTTTCACGGTCTCCTTTAGATGTTTTTCTCGCAATTTGGAAAATCTACCAGAATGCTCCAAATGAGTTGTTGCAATCACAAACTTCGGTGTCTTTGGTGCCAAATTGAACTTGATTTCTGCGGTCAAAAGTTCACGCTGATATGGAGAATCTTCAAACGGGTAGGTCTGCCATTTTTCGATCGGAAATCTGCTTAAAATAACTACAAAATACCCAGGGTGTCTTTCAGCATCAGGCGGTGTTAAGTGATATCGAGAAAACCACGGCTGTTTTCGGAGTAATCCTAAGTTTACGCGAGTGACTTCTTGAAAAGTTAAAATATCAGGTTTGAGATCTTGCACGATTTTCCCCAGTGCTTCCATCCTTTCGGCCATTTTGTCCGGAGAAAACCAAATATTAAATGTAAGCATCTTGATTCTGATGGACCAGCAGGTTTGTGAACAAAAACTGCACTATATTTCCTCCCGAATTTAGGAGCACCGAAAAAAGAACGAAGCACAAAAACAGCAATAATCAGTACTGCGAGTATCAGCAATGGTCCACGAGGGATGTAATTCGCCGACATCTTTAGTAGTTCGACCCTTTTTGAGGAGAAAGACTTAGATAAAATGGTTAGGCTAGCTGCTGCAGTCGTGGCAAAAACCCCCAGGCATCCTTGTTTGTTTTCTCAGTCCACTAACTTCTGTTCGACACGGGGACCTGGTAACTGTTCACAGCCTTGTCATTGCGTGACATAACTTCAGGTTGTTTAAGCTTGTCACGCAAAACGATTCTTCCAATTCTGATTAAAGCCAATTAACAAAAGATTAAACGATAATTGCTTTAATGATTTGACATTTCTACTGATTGATTTGACATGTACAAATGGTGAAGGAGGGAAATCAATATTAATGTCTCGTTATGATAATACGAAAAAAATACGATATTGAATATTTATTTCAAAATTCTTCAACTCCAAGGAGATTTTTAAGCTTTGACGGGCAGAAAAAGAAACAAATAAAAAATATACTCCTAACAACAAAAAAAACAACCACATACAGCGATGAAAACTCAACAGTGGATTTATCTCATTGACAATGTTCATTTTAAAACACTGGTAAATTTATGTGAATTTCAAACTCCAAGACGGGCTGGTAACATTATTAATTTTTTATGTACATTAAGTGTATTTAAATTGGACTAACTTAGTATGCTATCAATTTTTCATGTCTATAATAAACGCAACCAACATTGACAATTAAGTTCTATGAAATAGATAGTTACATTTTAATATTATTGATTTATTTCATCCCAGGAAGTCAGTCTACAGGTGCGGAAATGTTTTCTAGCTTTCACAATACGAGATAGATGTTCTGACAAAAACATACATGTTTGTTTTCTCAAAACATGCAATATTTTCATGGTAATCCGACAGTTATTACTACATCAGCAATCAACACTAACTCTTTACTGGCTTGCAAGAATTACACAATTGACAGTTCGAAATGTACAAGTGACAGTTGAATGGTATTACTTACAAACAAAGCAAGCGATTTGACTCGCTTGCTCTATTAAAATGATAATTTTTTTCACTCTGTTCTTAATGCCCCCTCTATGTACACATATCCTTTTTCAAATTCTACCCTGCTGGCAAGCTTTTTCTATCCAGCCTGTTAAAACACTCTTTACACAAATAAATTATCGGTACCTAAAGAAAATTTAAAATAGTACTGTCAAGTTCATTATTAATCACTGCAAAATTTGCATGATTCATTACCGGTACACCATTTGAAAGCAAAAATTATTTTCCATGATTGTTATTTATTGTCAGTTGTCGATATGTATTCCAAAAGCGCCGATAATCCTGAAAAACGAACTCCGTTTAAATCCAAAAATTATAATCTTTGCGCTAAAGAATATCAGCTCTCTTGCACGTTAATCTTTTTTAACACTCAGGAACACAAACATGAAACGTGTCGAAGTTGTATCTTAATTCTTGAGTGTAAAAGGCGAGGCAATTTTTCTGCGGTTTTAATTACACTGTCACACCTTCGTCGTGATCTTCTTGCAAGGCTTGTGTTTCCTCAGCTTGAATCGCCGGTGTCTCTTCGCTCTCCATCCACGTTTTTTTAGATTGCTCGTCTCGCTTGCACCAGCGTACCGTCAATAAAATCGATGCAACCAGGAACACAACAACCGCAAAACCGACAATCGCAAACCCGACAATTTTCACAATATTATTCCCATCTTTTTGTTTTGATGTGGAGCTTTCGGTGGTTTCTCTAGGCGTAGTGGGTGTGGCGAAAGGTTCCCCAAAGAGCTGTTTCACCCTGGCCAAGGAGCCATTATTCGGTGCAGGTTTAATTCCGAGAATTTCACAGATCATGGGGTAAATATCCAGGAGCTTAAAAGAGTCTGAACTGAAGTTCTTTTTGAACGCCGGTCCGCGAGCGATCAAAAATGGGTACATGTCCTCGTGTACAGTAGAGTAACCTTGTCCTCCTTTTATCATACCTTCCGTCAAGTTCTTCGACATTTTAGAGCCACGAGCATACCAACCTTTCTCCATCAATACCACAACAGAGCCAATTCTTCGATTCTTTTTGAAATGCAGTTTTTCCGGAACTTCTTCTTTCCTGTACACTTTGAAACGATTCGGGTTTCCTTCCCCTTCCTTTAAGCTCTGGTACACATATCCCTCTTGCCCTGAGTGAGGTTCCAGGGTTAAAAACGCTCCATTTCCCGCCCAAAGTTCGTAACTACTTGCGTTTACAATGTCATCGAAGTTGACAAAATCACTCGTGTTGTATTTTGCCAAACCATGATCGGAAGTAAATATAACGTTAACTTTATCGAGTAAGTTAGCCTTTCGCAGCTTTTCCACGAGATAGCCAACTACAGCAGAGTCGCTTTTCTCAATAGAATTCTCTGTTTTAGGTGAATCAGGCCCGTATGTGTGACCGGTTCTGCCAGGTTCCGCGAAATACATCGCTATAAAGTTTGGAGGCGCCTTCATGGTTAGCCATTTCATAACAAGGTCAATTCTCTCCTTTTCTGGCATGAGATTGTCCTTAGAAACGAACGGTTTGGAATATTTCGCATCATCGCTACTGAAACTGGGCAAATAGCCTCCAATGTTCACATCGTATCCCGGCCAGTAACTCAAGGCGCTTTTAAAACCTTGTTTCTGATTTGACACCCAGATTGGCTCCGCTCCATCCCACCATCTTGTTTCGTTATTACTGCGGAGAAACGTTGCGTTAAAATCCGGATCAAACATCTCGTTCGCAATAATCCCGTGGCTCTCAGGGTACAGACCTGTTACAATTGTGTACAAATTCGGCATGGCAACCGTCGGGAAAACGTTTTCAACGTACTTCGCCTTCACTCCGCCGCCAGCTATGAAGTCAAGATTTGGTGTGGATGCTTTCGATATGAAATCCCAGCGAAAACCGTCTAATGCAATCAAAATAACAGTTGAATTGCTTGCTGCTGTGCTCGACACGAAGCAAATATGCCAAGTGAGGTACACAAACAGCAACCTTTCGGCTAGCATTTTGCAGTCGCAGGACGGTTCACAGGTCTGTCAAAACCTAACCCACGCGTATAACACTTACTCATTAATTCACTTTGCAGAAAACAGCGACGCGCAACAAAAAAAATTTGCATATTTTAGTTGACTATTTCGTTGTGGTCAAAGAATTTGTTAAAGCAGCATGAGAGATGAACAGCTGGGTATGCAAATCATATATCACTTTCATGAAATCAAATCAAATCCATCCCAGAACCCCAGCTGAGTTAATAACTCGACAGATCCTGCAGTTAAAATCGATAAATTCCTTATTTCCTTTATTATAGTTCATGTTTTTGCTAAATACACTTCCTTCTCCGATAGAGCGAGACATCGCGAAAAAACGAATTAAATTTAACAAGGTGACGTTACTTGCGTCTGCGCATAGACGTTATGTAATTTTTCAGTTAGACACTCCAGGCATCAATTCCCATACCACTGTTGCTGCAGACCTAAGCACGTATTTTTACCTTCGCGAGGCAATGGTTGTCTTTCAAAAGTCAATCGAATGCAAATTGGTTGTAATTTTATTGCAATCACCTTCCCTGATAGCGCAGACGTATATTCCATTAAGGTTCTAGTACATAGTTTTCAATGACAAGGCTATCTATAAAGTAAAATGAAAAATCACTATTGCGTGTAGTTTTAGCCATCTCTCGTACCAAGCCTATCTTTTCGCATACAGAAAAAGGGTTTGGGTAAACACACATTTTTACTTCTATTTGCATAGTTTACTTCAAAGCCGATTATAAGCACTGAATTAATTAGCACATGACTTAAACTTTGCAAGGGGTACTAAATCGATCAATGGGTACAGGCACCCTAGCTTGGATTTGATGGGAGGGCGGCCTGGGGTTGAATTGGTATCATTCGTAAGCGGTTACCAAAAAATGTCTCAAAGAAAATCGGGCAAAAACCCCACCGAACGATAGGGCAAAAAAATCTCACAATGCGGCTCCAACTGGAAAAACACTGCTCATCATACTTGTCATAATCTAACTCGTCATTTGCGCACGAAACCTAAATTTGAAGATGTTTGTTTGTCACGTGTCACGCCAGTTCAATCTTCTCTTTGACAAATGTCTCGTGGAAAAGATGACAAAACAGTGTCACAGTTACTCTGGTTTCACTTTATTAGCTTATGAAATGATCGTGCTAGGTGAAAAACAAATAAAATGATTGTTGGAATACAGTGCCTGTATGTCGTCCTCATGCTAACTTGAATTTGAATTACTGCAAAAAAAATGAAAAGAAGGAAATCTCATTCATTGTGGCAGGAAACGTTTCACTGCACATGAATGAATTCAGGAAAATTAAACTTAAGTTATCTTTGCTCGGTTGAGATTCTGTGCGTGCAGAATCCAGTCTCCTCAAAGCAAAGACTTAAATCAAAGTAACCAACCAGAAAAAAAGGTGATTAGGAGAAAAACTGGGTCGAGACAACCTCACTCATCGATGTAAACGAAAAACCAATGCAATCGTAGATGACTTTCCACGTGCAATTAAAAATTACTTCAACCAATGGCAAGGCCCTTTGGGGCCGGTCATCATTTATCATGGGGGGGGGGGTGGGTGTCGAGGGATTCTGGGGGATCACATAGTTTTCAGGGGGTAACGGAGGGGAGATCAATCGTCTCTAACAGAGTTTAAAGGGGTTCTATGGGGAGTTGACCGCCAATGAGGGGACTACAGAGTTTTAAGGGGTTAGTCAGGTAAACTTTATTGTGACATAACCGAAAGCATTCACCCCCTCCCCCTCAAGCGATAATTCTTACCTGAGGGGGATCGAATCTCCGAGGAAGAATCCTCCAGAAAAATAGAAAAGGCGGTCCAAAACGCTCGTCAGCGGACTTATCAATGAAAGTAAAACAGGAATGAAAGGTGTAAGGGATAGGGTGACGGATAAATGGAGTGAATTTTGGGTCATGAAAACAAAAATAAATCAGAAATGGCTTTTAGCCATCTTCCGAGATAGAAATTATTTGAAGAGAATCGACGACTGGTTTGAGTAAGCGAAAGTTGCGATTTACTGTGGAATTGATTTACTTGAAATGAAATTTCAAATATACCCCCCGGTAGATGAAAAGGAAATACGACACTCCCGCAAATCTCACCGCTTCCTCCTTGTAAAGACCATTTTTGAAGAACAGCATATAAGGTGTCTCGCCATCTTCACGAAATCCCAAGAAAGCAAGCATTCCTTCGCATTCATAGCCATCGTCTTCCCCGCGATAGAATTTCCAGTTTCCAATTTTAAGAATTCTCTGCACGGCTTTACTAACATTGGCTTTGAATGTGGGCACATAATCAGGTCTGGTCTCTTCAATTTTTGTCACTAGCTTTTTTACGTAAGTTTGAATTGCCTTCTCAACGTCTCCTTTTTTCGGAGGAACCTTTAGCGTCTCATCCTCTTCAAGTTTGTTACTTGCTACAAGGTTGACGACTTTCTGGGTTTGTTTTTCTTCAGTTCCAGAATCTTCCGGCTCCTCTGCGGATTTATTTCCACCAATTAAATTATCGTCTATCGAATCATCTTCAAGTATGAGCTGAGGAAAGTGAAAAAGCCATTTCAATAACAACCCTCATTGGTAATCTTTCATTTCCGCAAATGAGATTGGTGCATTAGTTGCTTTATTTTGCACTAATTATTCTGTAGAGGTGTAATCGGACAGTTGAAGGTGATAATAGGACAGTTGGCTGTAATCGGACAGTCTAAGCCGCCAATCATCCTCAGCTAAATCCATCAAACGCAGTATTAATTATAATAACCATGTCAACAATCACTTACTTAAAAAACTGGGAAATTTCCACAATGGAGGGAACTTTTTACTTCAGGTAATGTCTCCAGAGGAGATATTTTCTCAGATAAATTTATCGTTTTTTCCCTAAATTGTAACAGTTATGATCAATTGACATATATCAACATTCCTATCCTCGCAGTACGCAGGAAGTTTATCACCACGGACCAAGTTAAACGGCTTGGCCTAGTACGAGTCTCTTACAGCACAGTGGTAGAGCATGCGCATCCGAAGCACCAATCAAAGGGTCGTTGGTTCGACTCCTTATGGGAGCACTAAGACTTCTTTTTTCTCCGAGTATGATTGGGTCATTCACCGAGTAACATCATCTTTCATACAAATATCTTATTGATCCAGTTATGAGCTGATGGGCCACTTTCTTGTTTTTACCACATTTTCATGTCATTTGTAATCTGTTACTGAACAGACGCAAGGCATCTGGCATAGTATTTGTCAAGGGAAAAAACAGTAGCAATAAGAGGCCAAAACTGATGGCCTGTGCTTATTGAAAAAAACGTAAGAATATAAGCCACCGTGAATCGATCCAAAAACCACACAATAGACAGAGGAACGCGCAATTTAGACAAAGTAATAACTTTTTAAAATCAAATCTCAGATGACTCTTAGTCCCTAGGGCCAAGTGTTTTACTCATTCCAACCCCGAATGACTTTTGGTTTCTCAGTGCGTGGAAACAGTTTAGTAAAGGCAAACTCGTGCATGAAGCTTGGGTAGCCTGTGTCATCACCCCATACCAGGGGTGAAGAGGAAGACATTTAATTCCACACAGAACCGAGAGCTTTAGTTCAGAAAAGTTTACATTTTGTTTCTTACCTTGCCTCCGACTTCATAGAAGATACCATCGTCTACTTCTCGATATTTGTAAGCATCTAAAAACATGTCTTTCTCTGTTTAATTAGAGATCATAAAGTTACGTCAAAAAGGAACTCCGCAAGCTGTTGGCACAGCTACATCGTAGCGGCAGTGGTAACACGAGAGAAAAAAAATGTCTGCATGGAACCCCTATTATTCGAAAACAATGCTGTTGACCCGCAATCTATTGTGGGCCTAAATTCTTTGGTGTTGCGTTTCAAGATCTGAACGCATAATAACGAATGGGTTCTACGAAAATCTTAGCATCAAATACTGCCACTGAAATAATTACACAGAGGGTGAGCTGCAATTAAAGAGGTCGCAGAAAAGAGGCTGGAAAAAAATTAGGTAGTAATGCAATTCGAATCTAGGCCTTCCTAAAAGTTGGGCGCTTCCACCGACAAAGCTATAGAGAAAAATGTTGGGAGGACGCAAATATTCCACAAGCTGTTCGAAGTCATCTTTAGAGAGCAACTTGATTAATTTCTTTCTCTATGTAAGTTCTGAACAGCACATACCTGTAATTATGTCCTTAAAGATAATCATGTTTGTTCGATTGCTCAACCACGATGCTAGAAGATTAATACAACGCGTTACACACACAGCGGCACTGGTAATGAAAGAGAAAACATTTTCTGCATGGACCCCCCTTTTATTCTAAAACAATGCTGTTGGCCTACAATCTATTGTTTTCGCATTTATTTTCTTTGTTTTTTTTTCTTTCTTTCATCCAAGATCTGAATGAGTTCTACGAATATCTTACCATCAAATGCGACCACTGAAATAACTGCAAAGAGGGTAAGCTGCGATTAAAGAGAATCATAGAGAATCATCGCGAATCATGAACTTCGTAATAGATCTCGCTCACCGTAGAGTCTCTGTGGCTCAGTGGTAGAGCATCGGAGCGCGGAATCAGAAGGTCTGAGTTTCGATTCCTCATGGGGACTTAGAATTTTTTCTTTGTCCCACGCTCGTGACTAGACGATAACACATCTTTCTCTATTTCTTTCCCGAGCTCAAAACTTACCATCTCCCTTGTTCTATTTACAAAGAAAAATCATGTTTGTTCGATTGTTTGCCAATTTGACTGGGAATTTACCCAACAACGATGCTAGAATATTAACGCATGACGTGATTTAGACATTTTCGGCCTTTTTATTATACCCTTGGGATGTAAAAGTAAACGTCCACAATTATTAGCCTGCAGAATAGGCGTGCTTTTTTGGCGTTTTTCCAGTCCAGTAAAACGCAAAAAAAATTATGCCTGTTCTGAAGGTTTTCATTCGAGAAGCCCTTCGTTTAATTTTGAACGAGCCAATTATAAACGATAAACAAAGGAAATGCATCGATGATATATTGACAAGCACAAAAGGAAATAATAAATTTTGATAAAAACACTATTGACCATAAATTAACGATAACTGCAAACATCAGGACGCATCCATGTCATTTATGAGATTTAAGTCCCGGGTCGTACCAGAGCTTTTTTTGTTTGGTTAAGTGAAAAATCTCTCTACAAGGATTATAAAATAAGTTCCACTCCCAATTCGAAAAACTTGCCAAACTTTTGCGGATCGCCAAATTTTCGCCAATCTTCAAAGGACCCGATGTCCTGCCTCGGAGACCTCTAAATTTTGGCAGAACAAACAATCATATATTTTTTAACCATCTGAGTCAATGCGCCAGAAACGTTCCAAATCAAATTCCTCTTGTTGGGGTTCGGCCATGACATGTAGGGTAGAAGTGCTGGGGCTTCTTGAAGGGTTGCACATGGAAAGGGAACCCAATAAGAGGTATCCAAGGTTGGAATTGGCTGCTGTAGGACCTGGACCCTTTATTATCTCGTCTTCAACTTCATCCCAGTAAGGATCTGCACCTATCAGAATGTCAACTGTGAAAGGCGAACCGTCGATGGTAGGATGCCCTAAGATCAGTCTCTCTAGTTGTGGTAAGTCCCTTACATTGGTACCAGTGTACTAACATTGGTACTAGGCAACGAGAGGTGCAGCTATGGTTGTAAAATAATTGCACGAATGGATATGATCTCCCGTTGAATCGTTTTAAGGTGGACTGTAACAGTGTCAACTTGCTTTAGAGATATGGCTTCTTGTGTTTCAGTTTTAAGAACAAGCTTGTCTGCGAAATTTGATGTATTAAAGGAGCGTTGAGAACCCTTGTCCAATAGAATATGTGCATTGATATGGTTACTGTGGCTGTTTTAAGTAGAATGGGAGGGTGTTTGTATGCACCACCAATGTGAATAGGCTCAATTACCAGCCGCTGTTCGGGAATATGAGCCCGCGCTCCTTCCCCCGAACCCACTTGTCTCGGGTAGGAGCGAAGACCGGACATTAGAGAGCGGCGGAAATCGAACCTACAATGTGTAAGGATGAGATTGAATGCAATGGAGCCTTATCTGTGACAGGTGGACTTGAAGTCTTGTTTGCAGATGTTAGGTCACTGGTTTTTGCTGTGGGAGGTTTCTCGACACTCTGACAAAGGCTGGTATGATGCTTTCTGGGGCATACGTTATCGCGATATTTTGACTTGCATTTGGATACTGGGTGATTTATAAAGTTACAGCATGCCTTGGCATTACGAACAAGAGAAGCTCCCTTTCCTTATCTGTCACAACATTAAATCAGCTGAATTGTGTTCATCTTTGCAGAGAAGACATGTTATTTGGAGCGTGATTGATCAGAGTTTGGAGGTGGATTTGACTTTGCACCCATGGAAAATGCAGCGGTGGGTGTTATCTAGTGAGCTGTCGGTAACTACATAATCACTACAACTATTCTTTCCAGCTTCTAAGATATAAATCTCATTTAATATTGCCATGCGTAAACTGTCGAAATGCCACTCCTTGTTTCCGTTCTGTCTTGCTAGATTTCTCTTGATCTCATTCGGTATTTTCTTCTTAATTGAGACAAGAATGTCTTCGTAACTTTCTGTTTTCTTCTCTAGCATCTCAAGTCCCTGGATGTGAGATTCTATCGAGTCGTAGAAAGCCCTCAAACCACATAATTGATCAAAGGGGGTAAGTTTCTAAAGAAACTGTGGTGCTGCGTCGATGGAAGAGTATAACAGGGTATTTTGGTATTATCATTTCGAGCATTAGCCCATCGTCTATTGCCCTGACGAAGGGCCAACGCTCGAAACGTCAGCTTTTAAACTCTTTACGATGGCCAATTTACGTTGTCAACTCAGTTGATAATGCTCAATTACCCTACTTAAATGATTAGTTGGAGATGGTAAGTTAAGAAGGGCTTCCATGTGAACGAATCTCTCCTTTAATAATTCAACTCTCTTAACTTAATTAGCGACCGTAGTTGTGCCTTCACATAATTGAACTTTTGGACATCACCAACTGTAGTGTTGTCGTGAACTGCTGATTGAAAGGCATCCCAAAGGGCTTTTCATTCCAGCGGGTTCCCATTAAACGAAGGTAACACTAGTTTAGGTAAACGATTAGCTTAAAATGAATGACTCGTACTCACCAGCGGCGATGTCGATGAATTTAGTGATGAGGTGAGTGAATTACCAGAGTTATCATTACCTGCTACTTCGGCTGACGTAGGAAACGACTTGTTCATTTTACTTTCTTATTTGTGGTGATTCTGGCGAAGGAAAGACGGTATCTTGAGGAGGACATGACGCATGTACATGTTGATTGGCATTCTTGCTTGCGAGCTCGACTAAGTTCTCACTGACGCATCTCTAAATTAAGTCCATTTAGTTCTCTCTGCTTCAATAACTTCTTGTTCAGGATTTCCAGGCGTTTCCAGCAAATCTATTATTTTGCTACTAAGTTCCTGATAGGGTTAGCTTCGTTTGTAAAAGCTGAGCGACGCAGGAATCGAGTAGAGCGATCTCAGTAGTACCGGTGATTGCCTTTCGTCGCGTCATCGATTTTCTGCTTTAGCTTTGTTAGATGCGACTTGCGTGCTCTCCTCGACGCTAACAGTTTCGTGAATATATGGGGCAAGTTTCTAAAGCCACCGACAGTGGGCCAAGTGAAGACCAACAATCGGTCGACACATAACTAACAGCTTTTTTGGGGAGCTCTGCCTCAAAACTACCACAAACGGCAGTCAAGCGGTCATGCGTGCGGTGCACACTTCCCTGTGACCACAGATACAGTGCAAACAATGTACAGGATGTATTTTCTCGGAGGGACTAAACAACGGGTCATATTGTGTGGCCCTAGAGATGTCTCTTTTCGTATCGCGTATTGATAGCCAGGCAGGAATTTTGGACACTAGGTCATTTGGACCTCATTTAGCACAGGTTTTGATTGAAATTAGTGCTTCTGAAAATTTTCAACACTCCGCAATCTCCCTGTTTTTCTGCTCCCACCCAAACAAAACGACAACAACAGAAATGCCCGTAAAAACACAGAAACCAATGTATGCAACTTTTCTCGCAGTGTCTGTTCTCATCCTGCCCCGTGGAACAAGAGGAAGAAGAGAGAAATACGCAAACTATAAACACTAAGTTAAGCTTCCAATAAAGTCTTCACCACACTGTAAGTATTACTGAGAATGACCATATTTATTGTTTTGTCCTGTCATTGCCAAGCAAGAATGTTACTTACAGTACATTTTAGCGACTCAACCAGTGATTGCTACTAGCAATAAAATTCTTACTCTGCAGAGAAGAAAAGCTCCACCCTACGCCAATTTTTTGATGTTAAAAATAATGGCCTGTGACAAGAAAACTTCACTCCTTTACGATGATTTTGGACAGGTTGCAAATAAGCTACATCTGATTTAAGGGAAACACAACACAAGCGTACAACACAGTGTTGTGATGACAATTATTCTGACTTGTTCAAAATAAAAATTCCTCTTCAAGTGGAAAGAAAATTGAAATTCTCGTGCGTTATAGATATATCTGGGTAATTTCCTTGTCTGGACATGGTTACTGCAAGAAATAAAAAGAAAAAAAAAAATTCAACATCTTGTTCTGCAACATAGAACATTGAAAGATACAAGTTAACCCTTTACCTCCCATAAGTGACTAAGAAAGAATTTCTCCTTACAATATCAAAACAATATCAAGTATAGAAGTGATGAGAATTAAATGAAATATCAGTTAGGAATTATTAGATGATCTAATACCAAATTCTCCAAATTGACATCATAAGAATTGAATAGCCGACAGTAAGGAGAGTTACTAATGAGATCTTGGCAGTTGAAGGGTTGGACAGTTCAGTTCAAGCTGTCAAGTCAAGTATTACTCTCTCTAGGACTGGTTTTACTCAAAACAAAACAAATCCAGGCAGAATAGCTGGTAAGATTGTTTGGGTGAAAGTCTGCACCCAAAATCCAGGGTGTTTAAATTATCTGTTACACATAAGACAGGAAACTCTGATCATTCATTCTTGTAATACTGCAAATTTATCCTTAACCTTTTCACTTCCAAGATCTCTTGAGAAATTCTCCTTACTATCTGCCATAAAATTCTTCTGATGTTGGTTTAGAAAATTTGGTATTGGATCAACAAATAATCCCCTAATGGATAATTTCCTCAATCACATCCATTTTGAAATTTCTGGTGATCCTTACAATTTGATTGGCTCTAATAAGTGCCATTAATTCACAAATTGCACCACATTTTGGTCTTACACTGTAACTATATCTTTTTCCCAGCCAATGAGAGAGCTTTACTAAAACACAAGCAATCAGATTTCAAGGCTTGTTCAAAGTGACTAAATATAAGATAAAATTCTTGAGGAGTTTTATGCAACAGTTCATACAACAAAATGGGGAACATTATGAGCTCAATAACTATCGTGAAAATTACTGCAGTTGACAAATACCAGACAGAGAAAGAATAAAAATGCTCAATGATTCACAAGAGAGGTTTTTAAAGCTTGAAGCAAATTCTTGAGGAAAAAGCCTGACTACTTTGGCAACAAGGCAAAGGCAAGTGACCAAACTGGTGAGCCATGACTTGAAATAAAGACATTTAAGTGCTACTAATTACCAGTAAATCACATGATTTTCTTTGTGCCATTTGGGATAAATCAGCACTCATTAATTTTTCCAGGACTACAAATTGCACCTGCACTATGGGCTTGTGCTATTTGGTTAGCCTTTGAAAGATTTACTTGTACTGATTTATCCCAAATTGTACTAGCAATCATGCATTTACCTATACAAATTGCACTCCACTCAGTTCAATTACCATTAATCATTCCCATCACCTGTCTGCTTGATATTGTATTGACATAATAATGAGAAATTCTGTCTTGGTCACTAGTGCTACTTTAAGGGTTAAAGAAAAAGAGGAGAGGGTTCTTCATTGGGAACTCAAAATGCAGTCCATGTTATAACTTCACATATTCTTTTCCAAGGCTGAAAAAATAACTCATCTTATGGTTTCTTGACCAAGATTCAATACTGCTGTGGCCATGATCAAGTTCTAAGAGATGGATATATTTTTCATATTTTTTCAAGGTTAAGAGACAAAATATCATTTGCAGAGTATCTAGAGAAATCTTTTAAAGTTGACCTTTCGTATCAAGCAAACAAAAAGCCTACCACTTTCTCTTCAAGAAGTCCATCTTTGAAAAACAGCAAATAGGGGGTTGTTTGATCCTCACGATATCCCAAGATGCAAAGCATTCCGTTTGCCCCTTCAAAGTCAGTCTCTCCACGGTAGAAGTCCCACTCATCAAAGTTATCAAGAATCCTCTTCACTGCTGGTATAGCTTTTTTCTTGAATGTGGCCACATAGTCTGGCTTGGTCTCGGTAAGTTTTTCCACAAGTTTGGCCACATATGCCTTGATATACTTCTGGTATTTTTTTTTGTCCATGTCTACCCATGCTAATCTGTTTTGGAGGACAATATCGACCCCACTTGTGGATGCATCGGCAGATTCTTCCTCATAAGATTCGGCAGACTTGTTCCCACCAATCATAGCCTCATCAACTTTGGTGCACTCTGTAGTATGCTAAGGAAGGCATAAAAACTTCACCACCATTCAACACATAGAGTAAAAGAAGATGGTACATTTTCAATATAATGGTTTTATAAAGAGAGATTTTATACAGTAACACTTGTAAGTGAGTATTATAGTTTGTCTCGCTTTGAACTGGTACTCGCTTCAAATGAAGCCTTTCACCAAAAAAAATTACTACAACTTTTTAATTAGCTTTAGTATAATTGCTCTGGTGATTATAAAGATGCATGCACTCTTACTGGTTGAGGATTGCATCATATCTGGTTGTAATTGCCTTGTGTAAAGTGATTACAACAGGAGCATTAAATTTCAAAATGGCAGCCTTGCATTTCTTCAACACTCCACAAGACCTGATAATTGTGACAGAGGAAAATACAAGTTTGAAGAGCACAAAAGATGCTAAAAAGTTTGGCATGACACTTTTCAAAGGAGAGCTATGAAGGTTTTGTTGATGGAATTAAAATGTGCCAGCTAAATGCTGGTGGAAACTTGCTGCTAATGTCACTTGTCGCAATTATACTAAAACTAATTATTTCTCTCAGGCTCAGTGAAGATTGTTGAATAATCCCCCAGACTATTCATCAATATTCACTTTGCCTTTGGCGAATAATTGTTAATTAACCCTTAAACCCATAGAAGTGACAAAAAAATCTAACAACTCCTTACATTATTGTAGTTAAATCAATTCTTGATGTCACAAGAGTAAAAGAAATGATTGCCGACAAAGAAGCTTTTGATTATTAAACATGATTTAATGATTTTGTAAAAAAAAAAAAAAAAAAAAAAAAGATCAATTTTACTTACTTTGCCTTCTACTTCAATGAATACACTGTCATCTACTTCTCTCATTTTGCAACTGTCAGTGAACAACTCATCATCTGTAAAGGAGATGGATTATTGACAATGAAGAACTAAAAAATACTGAAACATTCAACACATGATTTTAATTTCCAAAAAAATTTAATTTCTAGGAAGTACTAATACAGTTGCATCCTGATAATTCAATCAGGAGTACGAGTCATTGGGAGTTGAAAATGAAGGACCAGAAATAAGAGAAAAGTGGTGTTCACTGATTTTTTTTCTACTCATACAGTAAACATTTATCAAATTTGATTATAGAGAGAAGTCGAGTGAAAATGGAACACTAAATTACTGCAAAAATCACATTGTAATGTAGATGTTTTGGACTGCAGGACACTGATACACTGGTTGTTTTGATTTGCCACATATTGACAGACATGGTTCGACCTGGTTCAAGGTTTTAAGAAAAATTTTACCATGGGTAAAATCACATTCATAAATGATGAAAATCCAGAGGAAATTGAATTTGGTTTGGGTTTGGCTATGGGCTTTACAAGGCTAAAGAAGGATATGCAAATCTGAAGTTTAGTGATTGAAAATTTGATTTGTAGCTGAGAAGAACAGTTCACTTAGAATTGTTTACAACACTAATAGTGATTACAGCTTGTGAATAAAAATACGATCAACTTCTGATAGATTAAATGCCTGTCAATCCATCAACCATTATGACTGAGGACTGATAAGCATCTTATTTCTCCCAATTGTTTCACCCCTGAATCAAAGATTAGGGCTAAAGGAAATTATTGCTCACTCTAAAGGCTCTTGATTGCCATACAAATTCTCCTTGAAAGTATCATGGGAAATGTATTAGGAACATTATGGAGAACTTGCAAGAGTGACCAGGTTTATTATCAACCAAAAAATAAGTTATATAAGAACAAAAAACCATTTTTGCTTAATTATGTAGAAATTACAACATATTACAAAACTGAGGACTAAGGCCAATCAGTTGTGTCAGTTTACACATAAATCGGCGTCATGCAAAGTTTCCCCTTTAACCCTGTTACTCCCAGATCAAATTTGTAATTCTCCTAACTATCAACCATAAGATTTTTGTAATGTTAATTCAGAGAACTTAGTATAGGATCAACTAGCTATCCCCAAATTGAAATCTTTCGTTATTCTCATCACTTACCTGGTTGATATTGTATTGATATTGTAAGGAGAAATTCTGTCTTGGTCACTCATGGGAGTTAAAGGGTTAATTTGACAAAATTCCCATTAAAGTAGGTATACAGTTTAAGAATTGTCTGATTCAGCAGGAGAAATCAATTTGATAAAAGGATTTACTGAAATAAGTTGACTGGTTGTTTGGTCTGTTTGTTCACATCAATGGCACAGTTTCTCATGTGCTAGAAAATAGAAATCATGATGAAAGTGCCTATGACACAAAAATTTTTGTTTGCAAAGATATTTAGCTTACCATGTGTACAAACGAATTTTGATAGAAGAAAAATTTCCAAAAAATTAAACTCGGTTTTTTGGGGCCCTAAAGTGCTCTTATTTTGTCTAAATAGTGTTACGAAGTAGTTGGTGATAACGCAGAAAACGGTGGAAACTTTTCAGTCGAGACATGAAAATCTCTCACATCTCTTATAACTTTGTATCAGTCAGCATTGACATGGTCAAAGAGAACTCAGTAGGCGGTAAGGTTCATCATTTCTAATTTTAAATACACCTATGGACCAGAAAATACTAAAAAAAAATCGTGTCGTGGGCACTTTACGTAAGCCTGTCTGTCTTCATAACTTTGATGTTAACTTTAATCTGGAGCATTTATTATCTCTCTACTCTTGAAATCCCCACGTATACGAAGAACAACGACAAAATACGATTAAAAGTTTTCTTTATCGAATGTTCGTGACATTTGAGGCAGGATAAGTAACTTTAACTGCTCTGTGTAGTTTGTGAAATCGTCAGCCATTTTGTTTCTGTTTTTTTTCTTCTATGGAATGATTGTACTGTGATTGATAAAAAATCGACTAGGTATGGCCATTAACCTTCATGATACAATTAAAGAGCCTATCCAACAAAATTATTCTTGTTTCACAGACTAAAGTCGTGTGCCAAAAGATCAGAAATACCGATGAAAGTCAACTCAACATACACTGTTTCTCGGGACAATTCAGGGAAAATAGAACTTTCAAGACAGTCACACGTGGTTGAGACCTAGTACTTACTGGATAGAAGGTCCCTGTAAACAATCATGATGTCGATGGGTCAGGATTTCGCGTTACAGTATAGAGCTGTAAAACCCGATTACAACAGATCGAGCCGAAAAAAGGTAGAATTTTGTGATCTTGCGCAATATATCAACAGCAGTCCCAGTGATCACGGTCAGTATGAGAGGCGAGAAGGACTCGGTAATAACGATAAAATCAAAATGGCGCGCGAATTAAAGCAAATCAGAATTAACGAAATTTAAAGCAGAATGGAGTGATGTAAAAAAAAATTAGTCAAATCAGGTATTGGAAAATATTTTTTTTAAAGTAAAAAGCTGATTGTTTATTAAGAGCAATCTGGATCTTTAGGATTTGGCCTTTCAACTACCTGTTTGATTGGTTTTGTTTGCAAAACTTTGTTATGGATGGTTGTGCTGTCGATCTGTGGTTCACATCATTTGTTGCATGTCTTATGGAAGTTTTTCTCAAAAAAGGGAGAACATGAAAAAGCAAGGGAATGAAGGAAGGAAAGTGTTGAAACCAAGTCCCAATGAAGAGGTTTGTTAAAATTAGCGTTAGTCTAGTAACGACCGAACACTTCTGTATAGATATAGCTTCCATATGCGTCTGGTAGTTTGATTGTAGACAGAATGTTTAATATCAAATAAACGGAATTTAAATTTTCAGGCGAATATACTCCAAGATGAGAAAGTCAAAAGGAAGAAGCAACGCTTAAAACAGGTACGAGAGTAAGATTGATACTAGTATAAATTTTAGTTGACTTTTTTTTCGTATAAGTATTCTTTGCTTGACGTTTCACCCTTTAACCCTCAAGAGTGATTCGCATCTAATTTCTCCCTACAATATCACCCCAGAGACACACATTCAGGTCATGAGAATAAAGAAAATGATCACTTACTAAAGAAGTTCTTGATTGTTAAACAAATTCTCCTCGTCAGCAACTTAGGGATTGTGTAGAGAACAGTATGGAGAATATGCATTCAGATGTTAGGGAGTAAAGGGTTAAAACTTTGAGAAAATTTTTTGAATTTGATCAATTAAGAGGACACTACCCCATTAAAGCTTTAACTCCCAAGATCTGATTGTTAATTCTCCTCTCTAGCTGCCATGCTTTCCTTATAAATGACGAGAATTTAGTTTTTGATCAAGATAACTTCTATCTGATAAGTTTGAGTATTCTTACTACCTGTTTGCCAGATAGCATAAGGATATTAGAGAGAAGTTATATTTTAATCTCTTCAGGGAGTTAAAGGTGTAAGTCAACCACTTCTCCCTACTTATGAGTGTCAATAACTAATTACAGTTTACAAATATATAATCACAGTTGTAAATATTTGTTTGGGTTAAAAATTAAATTTGACATGACTAAATGACTTGATATAACTTTTCAAAAAAAAGTCGCAGGACCAGTAATTCCTTAATTGCAGATTTTAAAAAATTATTTCATATACTAAAAGTGACTTCATCAGGGTTGAAATATGACAATCTGTTAAATATTTTGCTTTTGAGTAGGGTAGGGTCAGGGATTGAGGGCCCACAGTAGTAACATACCCTTAAATGCTGTCTCCCTTCCCCCTCCCTCTCCCCCATCAACACTGAATTGATCTTACTTGCTGAATGCCTAGATCAGAGAACAAGAGAAAGCATTTTCTCGTAAAGTGCTAAAGGATGCCAGAAAAAGAAAAAATATTGGGCTGAAAGAACTGACCTCTCATCTGAAGGTACGTTACAGAACTTGTGATAACATTGCAGAAAACCTTTTCTTAATAAAATGATGAGCTTGCTACGTTGATATTGACAACTATGTCATATTGAGCTTAACCATGTAACTCTCAAGAGTGATGGGCTTGTAGTTTCTCCTTACAGTATCACCCTTGAGTCAAATGTATTGGACAGGAGAATAAAGGAAACAATCACCAATTTAAGAACCTCCTGATTGTCAGGCAAATTCTCCCTCTCTATACCATAGGAAAAGTTAACAGAACAGATTGAAGAATTTAAATACTAATCTCAGGGTGTAAAGAGCTGGGCCTTTTTTTGGTATTTAGCAATGTAATTTTACAAATAAGGCAATTGATCTGCTCTGAATCCTCTCAAGTTTTTACCATTCATTGAATTAAGGACCAATGGGAGATTGCACAAGAAAAGCGGAAATTAGATTTGGAGAAAAAATATCAAGAAAATGAGGCAGAGTTTGGATTGGGACACAGGACTGCTTCTGAGGTACTTAATCAAAAACAATTCAATTTATAGATTGGTTTTTTTCCACATCACCGATAATGATGATGTTTTTAATGAAGAAATTGAGATGATTTAATTTGCTTCTTTTTTTTAAGGATCAAACAAACTATTCTAAACCAGATATGACTGTGGAGGAAAGACAGAGGTACTCTTCATATTTTTTGTCAGAAGCTCATTGATAAGTTTTTTTTAGGGAGACTACATGGCTAGGAAATAGCATAAAGGACTCTGAATGAAGGGGTCTGGTCTCAAGGCCCCACAGGGTCTTTGTGTTGAATTCATCAGCAAATGCTTCCCTTTACCATGCCCCTCTCACCTCAGGAGTATATCTTAGTATGGAAGCTTGATGGATGCTGAAGGGGGGTGTCTGCTATGGACCAGCAACCCACCCAAGAGGGGGGGGGGGAGAGGGCAGTTATGGCCCTTTTGACTTCTCACACTTAACTCTTAAACTCTGACCCATGAGTGACTAAGAGATATTTTCTCCTCACGATATCATTACAGTATTAAGCAGATAAGTGAAGAGAATATAGAAATATATCAGTTAGGAGATTATAAGTCAACTGAATATCAAATTCTCAGCACTAACGTGAAAGGAATTGTATAACACACTATAAAGAGAATTATTGGTGGGATATTTGGGTCACTTTCTTTATAAGAGACTTTCATGAATTCTATGCACTGAATTCTCTATACAAAGTACGTTTCTTCTAAATAATGTCATATAATCACTGAATGTCTATTCTTTTTATGAGAGGTCCTAACTACACCCAGCCTAATCTAATTTTATTTTGCAATAATTTTATATTTCAGGGCATCAGAGAGATACAAGAAAGCACTAGAACAGGTGAAGGGTGTAATAGACCAGAGTGGGGCATCTCTTCTTTGGTGGTTTTAAATAACTCTTAACAGTAATTGCTATCAATGTTTTTTGAGACTTGTTTAAAATCAGTAAGGAGGAGGGTAATGGGTGGATAAAGACCACAGATTTGACAAACAGGCTCTGGTTGTTCAAAGATTGGATAACACTATTTACTGGATAAATCTCTATCTGGTGGATAATGCAGTACGTTTTGCTATCGCTTATCTGCTGGATAGCAATGTATCCATTGGATAGAGTTGTCCACCCTTTATACAACTGGTCTCGGGATCACAGATTTTCATGCCCTTTATAAAGGGGGGGGTCGTGAATAAAATAACAGAAAATGAGGGAGGGGTAATTGTCTTTAAGCCACTGTGATCAACAGGAGATTTTTATATGTTACATTAGCCCTTTAAATCCCATGAGTGACCAATTCAAAATTTCTCCCCACAATATCCATACAATATCAAGCAGACATGTAATGGGAATAAAGAAATATATGAGTCATGGGATTATTAGTTGATCCAAGACCAAATTCTCTGAAATAATAGGTGATCAGTGGAAAAGTATGGCAGACATTAAAGAGAAGTACTAAACAATGAGATGTTGGAAGTTAAAACAGTTAAAATAAGAGCCAATAATTTTGAATCTTTCGTCCTCTCCTATCCAATGAGAAGATCACCTGTATATTCATTGCATGTTCCAGATCAATTTTTTAACTTATTTTTCTGAGTTAATGAAATGTTAATCATCTGACTGGTTTTCATGAATTGAAAAGCTAAAAATATAATCAGTAAAAGTCTTTTGTGATAGTGTAGTCTGATCATCTGGGTGAGTGTAGTCCTGAGAAGGACTGTTGTCATAGTGGTGACTGACATTGTGACCACCTGAGTGGAAGTCATCATCAGAGTGATGATGATGACTCTGACGACTCCTCCTCAGGTTGTCAAAAGGTCAGTCACCACTACTGACAACAGTCCTTCCGAGGACTACTCTCACCTGGAAAATCAGGCCATAATATCTCATGTGATGTCACGGTGAAGGTCATTATGTACTTTCATTGGTCCTTAGTGAAAATTAATGACATGTCATTCCTACCTACATGTGGCAATCAACATTCCGATGAAGAGTAATGATATCCTTAATTTTTAGCTCATGTATGAAAGGGACAAGATGACTCAGCCAGAGAGAGAACGCTTGGAAGGGAGGTAACAATCTGCCTGTGATTTGTGATACATGCATTTTGAACACATCAAGTTACAGAAGGCTTTTGATTCTTGCAATTGTTACTTGGATCCATATTAAATTTAACCCTCTCTGATGTTCCCAGACATTTTCCACTAGAAAATTTTTTCAAGCTTCTTTCTCCCTCCCCCTCTTCCTGTCCATCCTCCTCTCCCTCCCCCATACTCTCCCTCCCCCATACTCTCCCTCTCCCTCCCTCCCTTCCCCAAACTCTCCCTCCCTCCCTTCCCCTCTTCCTGTCTGTCCCCCTCCCTCCCCCTCTCCCTCCCCCCCCCTCCCTCCCCTCTCCCTCTCCCTCTCCCTCTCTCTCTCCCTCTCCCCCTCCCTCTCCCTCTCCCTCCTCCTCTCCTATGTGTTATCCCACAGGGTGTATTTTAATTGATGAAAGAAACTTTTCATGGTGTCATATTGTTTGGTCACTTAAATTATTGTCAGTTATAAAAATTTTATTTTCTTTCTTGTTCTAGGAAGCTAGCCTTGGAGATTGAACGTCAGCGAGCAGCAAGGATTGCGTCTTTACCTCCAGTAGTTGATCCCATTAAGGTACAGGAACCTTTGTGTACCAAAGACCTTGAAATTCACTCAAATTTTTGATTAGTGTGAGTCACCGGTAATTTGTCTTGAGTTCTGGATCAAAGCTAAAATTATAGAGTAAGCACTCAATTAAAATAAAATAAACCAACTTATTATCAAGTAACCTAATGATTGCCGAGGGAGTGTAAATTTTTCAGAATACAAATTGAAACTATTCAAGCAGCTTGTATTAAGTTTTCAGTCATGAAAAAAAAAGCCTTAAATCATTATCAGTATATATTTTTGTACATGGGTCCACAATGATATCATTCTATTAAGCAGCTAATTAAAAGATAAATGTCTGTCTGAGATGAAAACTTAAAAATATGTTGTCTCATGGCTGTTGAAGACCTTAAATTATTGATAATAAAGAAATTACTTCTAAAATTAATAAGTTTTGCCATCCATTTTTTCTAGGACTTAAGTCAGGAGAAAGGTACAGGAGAAAGTTTGTTTATTTGTGGTTCTCAATATTTCATCCATTCGTTTCAAGTTTATATATTCATGGTTTTTATTTGAAATGTTTTTCTCAAACTTGTTATTTTACCAAGACCTACCAAATTCTAACAAGAAGAAACTTGACAACTACGGTACATCACGGTTTCACTTGAAACCTGCTGTTCTTGTGGAACGAGATCTGGATCTAAGTCAGGTAAACATTGTCATGATTAACAACAATTTATTTTTTCAAGAGGCAAGCGTGAGGTGAGTGCAAAAGGTGAGTCATGGGTGAAGGAAGAAGGGTAAAAAAATTATTTTGCACTCCTCATATGGCTTGTGCTTGCTACTGTTTGCCTGAAAAATGCAAAAAAATAGGCCTGTTCTGTAGGATACCATTTTTTGGAGTTGAGGAGGCAGAGCAATCTGCCTTTGAATAACTCTCGTACCAATGGGATTTCTCATCACTTTAAGTAATTAATTATACTCTAAAGGGGAAAACTTTACACTACTAATTGCTTTAACATCTAAATGTTTTACTCCCTCAGGAAGATGCAAGAGAAGCTGCAAAAGATGAAGAAGAAAGGATTCAAACAATCATAGAGGTTTTTATTCCAGAGTTTAAATTTTCATCTACTGAGAGTTAAGCAAAAATCACTGTGACATTTAAATCTTCCCCAAAAAATTGGGAGTGTTTTTCATTGTGCTTCATTCCATGTCTTGTTTTCTGTTCTGGTAGGAGGTTAAACGTGGTAAAGCTGAACAAAATGAGAAGGCCAGACTAAGACACAAACATGCTTTGGCTCAGCTACAGTTGGAAGAAGTGAGAACTTACTTAAAACACTTTTTGCTTTTGAGAATTGTTACCAGGAGACATCTCTATTCATTCACTGAGACTCAGACTTTGGTCCCAACCAAACAAGCACTCTTACAACCTTTGCAGAGTGCACCAAAATATTCATTGGATGGTCCAAGTGACTAACCAAGCACATCTTTGTGATGACTTGTCTATGGAACACATACAGTTTTGCCACAATTGGCAGTAATGTTTCTATCTGATTGGACAATTTGCCATTGTCAAACAGAGTGCAGACAACGCTGCTCATGCCAACTTGTCACACAATGGTTATACACTAAAAGAATCGTTTTAATAGACGTTGATATTGTCAGTGGTAAAAAACAAATTGACAGTGATTTAACATGGTCTGTATTCATATCAACAACAATATTCGTCATCACAGTGGTCAAAATTTGTTGCAGACTTATGAGGAACAGTGACAAATTATTTTTGTTGATAAGAGTACAGACCACACTTGACCACTGTTGATTTGTTAATTAGATCATTTACTGATCACCAAACAGCAACATTGCAGAATGTATTGATTTGTTTGCATTACTGGTATGTGTTTTGGTAGGACCATGAAAGGCTGATGAAAGAACTGGAGAGTTTGGAGAGACATGATCGCCAGCGAAGGCAAGAAGCTGTGGCTAGGATCCCTGTAAGTGTTCCTGATCAAACATTATGATATTGTTGTAAACTTCCTGCATTTTCTTTAACAATCTAATGAGTGACCAAGACAGATTTTCTGCCTACAATATCAATACCACATCAGGCAAGCAGGTAATGAGAATAAAGGAAAATATAAACTAGGGGATTATTATTGATCCAATACCAAATTCTCCAAACTAGCATCTTAAGAATTGTATAGCAGACAGTAAGGAGAATTGCAATGGAATCTTGGGAGTGAAAGGGTTAAAAACCAAGTTTTCTGAAACAAAAGTCAGAACACTTATAGTCACTGGTTGAACTACATTTCACATAGCCGGGTATGCTTTGCAAGCAGTGCATGGTTTGCCTTCATGCTACTCCACAAAGGAGAAGTTCCTTTGGATGACAAATTTGTATCCCTGTAGGTGCGCATATTTCAGCCTCCACATAAAAGGTTGGAGGATGCAGAGGATCGCCAAAGAGACTTGGAGCAAGCATTTGAAGACATGTACATGATGCACACAGGTTGGAGCTGTTGATTTCGATATTCATTTTTTTTGTGTGTGTGTGTGTGTGAAAGTTTCCAGGTGCTTTGTCCTGCAGAGTATTTACATTGTGCTTTTGACACTTCCTAGGTTACACAGGTGATCTGACAGTTGCACTAGAACCTCCTGAGCATCTAAGACCCTCATCGGTAGATAGCCTTCTATCTGGTGAGTGTTACTGAGAATGGTTTGAATACAGGTGGTCAGAGTAACTGTTACTGTTGTTCATGAAGTCCAATTGTGCACTTGAGATTGGTTCTCAGTAAGACTCTTTGGTAAGTGACTGACATTTTGAGAACTTGAGGAGATGTAATCTTCGGATTCAAGCAAGGAGTTGCTTGTCAGTTGGGTGTCTGTTGCTGTAATGTCATGGATAGACAAACAAACTAGATAGAATCACTTAACCTCACTGACAGATCAAAACTGACTAATCATGAGTAGCATGATGTCCTAGAATTTAACAGTCAAGGACATCCTTACAAAACTGACCAATCAACTCCTGACTTGAATCTGATGAGGACTCTCAGGTGGGTTGTCAAAATTTCAGTCACTGCTACAAAAAATAATTCATTTTGTCACCTGGTAAGCTCAGGTTGTAGACTGCCAGAGTGTTGCATGGGAGATGAAGGGTTCAAGCCTCAGACTGGACCAACACTCAGGGTCTTGAAATAATTGAGAAGAATGTGCCTCCTCTGCTAGTCTAGTCTGTTCTAGTCTTCTCACATAAGGATGATAATTCATAGGCCGAATGTCAGACAACTCGCCCCTTGGACAATTAGCCCCAGACGATTAGCCCCCAGTCTCTGGACGATTAGCCCCCAGCCTTAGTTTATGTAAAGGAGAAGTTACGTTCATTTGTTGGTCATTGACTTTTATGAGTTTGTGGCTCCTAAAGGAGCCCTTTTTTTTTGTGAATGTCTATCTATATTAACATTTACTCAATTTAAATTACATGGGTTGTACGAGGTGAGCACCAGTCGATAGACGCACCGGTTTTAACAGCGTTGCGGTAATCTGCCTGCGACACGCCCGATTGACATTAACAAGTAGTCGCCAATAAGTTAAAGTTTCGAAGTTTCGTCCCTGGTTTCTTTCCTTTCCAATTTAAACAACATGACGGAGAAACATTCGTAACGTATGTAAACAGAAAGAACACAGTTCATTTTTGTAGAATATATAAACAGAAAGAACACAGTTCACTTTATAATTCGATACGCACGGCAGAGAAACGTTCATAACAAGCAAACAACAAGACAGCAAGAACGCAGTTTACTTTATAATTTAACACGCATGGCAGAGAAATGTTCGTAAAAAGCAAATAACAAGAACATTGTTTATTTCATAATATATGATAGGGAAACGTTCGTAAAAAGTAAAGGGCAAGAACATAGTTTATTTCAAGGTTGGTGGGTTGGGGGCTAATAGTCCAGAGACTGGGGGCTAGTCGTCTGGGGCTAATTGTCCAGGGGGCGAGTTGTCCGGATACCCATAGGCCCTATCTCCTGCATATTCAAACTTGTAAACTGCTTAATTTAGTCTAGCTAAAGAGCATCATAGCACAGTATTATAGATAATGCACTTTATAAATTCCTTATCACAATCATCTCAAGACCACCTCACTCTGATGATCAGACAACAAGAGCAAGTAAGTTTCCCTTTCATATCTAAATTGTAAAAGAATTGAAAACAGTGTTTATGTTTTTGCAGAGAGTGATCAAGGATCTGCTGAACCAGTAGGAGCCAAAAAGGTGTGATTAATGAAAATCAGTGAAAAGCTATGATGTTTAATCTTAGTTTTAGCTCATCATTTGTAGCAGAGACCAGGTCTCATATCTAAGACCGTGTCTCTGTTACTTTTCTTGATGAGGCATTACTCATTCCAAAATGCATGTTTTTTTTTTCTTCCCCAGAAAGTATTCCATGAAAAAATTTTCCTCTATATAATTAGGGCATTGTAAGAAATAATGAGAGGTGTGTCTCAGTAGTGGGATTCACAGTAGCCTAATGCTCAGTCAACTGGACTTCAGTCAAGGGGTCTGGGTTTGAGACTTGGCTGGATCATTGTGAGTAAGACACTTTACTCTCCCCATGCCTCTCTGCACAGAGGGGTATAAGTGGGTTCTGGCAATTTGTTAAGGAAGCCTGATGAAATGCTGGGGGGTAACCTTGCAATGGACTGACATCTCATCCAGTGCATGTTCCAACAAGTTTAGTGTTTTTCATTGCCATAATGTAATTCTTTAAAAATTATAATTAAAATTTGTACACATCAGCCTTCAACCCCTCTGCTGAAATTTTCAATAATCTCACTCAGAGTGGGTATATAATATCCTGGTCCACCTTGCCTAAGGGCCATTCAGTCTGTGAGGAAAGAGTTAACCTTTCAAGGCTAGGTTTTTGTCAAATCCTACATGGTCACTTCTACAGTTCTTTAATTAAGTTGTGTACCTTGTTGTTCCTCTCCCAAGTAATCAATAGCAAACATTCATATGCTCACCAACTGTTCCAACAGCCACCACAACCCCCTGATGCAGTTGTTCCTGATGAGAGCTCAGGAGGAGCAGAACATGGTGGTGAGCCTAAAGCTGGGCCTAAAATCGCACCCCCAGGTTATGGTGTCCCAAAGGGGCCTTCTGAAGGTGCACCCCCTACAGATCCATTGCAACGACTCTTAAAAAGGATTGAGAGGCAGCGTGACCAGTGGAAGGAAAGGCAGCTTCCAGAAGGAAGGCAACCTCCTGGTGCAGGAGAAGCAGGTTGGAATAATGTGGACTAAATTAAATTTTATAAATGCATTTTGTAAGGTTGAACGTTGTTGTGGCAGCTAGTTCAAGTGCTTTTTTTTGTAAAGAGATGGCAGGATAGGAAGTCAAGATTTGGTTCTAATGAGTTGAAATTTTCCTTCTTTTATTAGTTAGCATGATCTGTGATTTATGTCATGTTAGATAGAGCTGTTGTAATTTACTGAATGAGATACTAAAAACCATTTTTGTCAACAATTGATGCCTTTTTGATTTCTACTCTATATATATACTGCTAGGAATTCCTCGTCCAGTTACCTCAACACTTCCTCAAAGAACCCAGGAATTCAGGTATGACTGCCAAATCAAAGATTGAAATGCTTTGAAAACAGAGTTGATTATGAACCATGTTCTTCCAAGGCATCATGAAACAGAAAACATGCCAGAATCATTTGGGAGAATTTGGATCCTTTACCTGAGGTTTAGAGATGTGGGAGCTGACGTGCAATCAGTGTTCCCTTAATTGGTGTTAATTGTGGAAGTCATCAATGGGCAAACCTTTTCTTTTTAATTAACGAATTCTGTTGTGAATTTTACTGTGATAAAAAGTCTAGTCTACTTTGTAGATATTGTTCAAGCTTGTCACCCAATGTATTGCGTGACAAAGCCAAAAAATGGTTGAGAAGACCAAAAATGCCTAACTACTGGTTAAATCCAAAGAAGAGTCTCTAATCTGAGATGAATTTTTTTATGCAGGATCCCAGACACCATACCATTTCCTGCTGCCCCAGAACAAATCGCTGAAGCTGAATTTTCAGGAGAGGAAGAGGATGCAGAACCTGGAAGGACTGATGCAACTGAAATGGAAACACGGCAGCCAATGCCAGGGATGGAGCATGAAATCGACAGAGTCAACCCACCAGCAAGTGGTGCACGGACATTGCTCCATCCATTAGAAGCTGCGCAACGATCTCGCACCACCACCCCCATGGTAAGAAGGGTATGAATCCTTTAGAAAGGGGAGGCTCAGAGGGCTCATTGTGGTTTTGTAATTAAGCCCCAGCATAGAAGAAATTCATTTTCAACATCAAAGCCCGACTGGAGTTGGTAACCTGTGGTTTGTTAACAACTTTTTGCAGTTAGCACCAGGTGGTTTCATTATAAAAAGGACTGCATCTTGTGTTACACTTGAGTAACAGCTCTTTGTTTCTCTGATTTTATTTTAGCCAACAGCACAACTCAGCCAACAAGAAGCTCTTCTAGAGCAACAGAAACTCAAACTACAACTGCAACAGCAAAATCTTCTTCAGCAGCAACTAGAGCAACAACTGCAAGCCTACCAGAGGCAACTTGCTGATATTTATGGACATGTGGATATGCCCGAAGGTCTATCAGTGCCTGAAGGTCTATCAGTGCCTGATCAAAGACCCTCTCCAGAAGTACCATTCACTCATAGCCCCCCTTATGACAATGACCCATTTCTGACAAACACTGTAAGTCTATTACTTGAAGCCTATTACATTTAGCCTTGACCAACTCTGGAAAGGGAGTCTGACTTGTAATTGCAAAAGTAAGACGTTTGGTGAAGCTTTCAATTGTCTTCTTTCATTTCAGGGAGCAGTGGACACAGAAGGCAGGTCATTCCATGTCCAAGCCCCACACAATTCAGTACCTCAAACAGAAGAGCCCAAAAGTCCTTCAACAGATGGCTCTCCATTGCTTTCTGATGCCCTCGAGTCCTCAACACTAGAGAGTATCACCTCAGATGAATCTGGAATGTCCTCAGATTTCCAAAGAACATTACAAGCAGCACGCTTAACAGCGGAAAAGGCTGCCCAGTTTCGGACGACAGAAAGGGAGATTTTACAGGAGCATGACAAGGCACAATTGGATGACTTCCCCTCTGATAGAGGTCAAATGTATTTAAGAAAGGACACAATGTCTGGTAGAGCATCAAGCCTTCAATCTGAGGAGCTTGTTAATGTTTCAACTCCGTCAACTCTTTCGCTTAGTGTGACGTTATCTTCTGATCTAAGTGTGACAGCTGCTGTGTCACAGACCTCCCACTCTGGTCAACCCTTTCTTGACACAAGGTGTGTATTTCCACCCACCTCCCAAGGTTGGTCACAGTACTCTGATGTCAAGGACGCTACAAGCATTGCTGCTGCCACATCATTGCTCAGTAATGTAAAGGCCTTACAAGGCATAGGTGTTTCTCAGCCATCATCAGCAAATGTACAGCAATTTTCTGTGTTGTCTTCAAGAACTGAGCCATCGAGTCACTTTTCAAGGGCTGTGACACCACCAGTTTTGAGCAGTGGGCTAGCAAAAAATTTCCCTGACACGATTTCTGCTTTCCAACCAATCACTCGTTCTGGTTATTCTCCAGGGTATTTAGACTTCTACCAACAAAAGATGGAAGAAGAACGACAGCTCTTTGAAGCTCAAAGAACTCGTGTTGAGCGTTACAGTGACTTGTATAAGAAAAGGACCCCAGGTGGTTTAGATACTGAAATGTACCAGGCTAAAGGAAGTGCAAGCAACAGTGTGCCTTTTTTAGGGCCCCTCACAAAAACAAGCCCTTCACTATGGGAACAGCCTGTCAGGGCTCATACCAACCCGGGTAGGAACATAGGGGACACAAACAAAGAGAATTTGGGTTTTGTAGCAAATTCTACAGCATTTCAGGGGCAAGACAGACTACATGCTATTTCACAAAGGCTTGGTGCCTTTGAAAAATCACTAACCACTGCACCTAATACTACAGTTGTTACTTCATCCAGTTACACCCAGAAGCCCTTGTTCACAAGTGGAGACTGGAGTCATGGCTCCAGCACAGAGTATTTGTCCCTTCCACATGAATCTGAAGGTCCAAATGCTCGAGGCAGCATAGGCTCAACATTTTCCACCTTGTCCGAGCTCACAGAAATGATGACACGCTTGACATCCACAAGTGATGAAGCTGAGAGCACATCATCCAAGGCTCAGGGAACATCAGGTGCCTTAGAGGTACATTCTTTTGGTACCCATGGGAGACAAATCGGCCTAGTCCCAGAAAGAACTTCAATAGAGGGACCTGACTCATCAGTTGGCCAGACATCTTTCACTTCCTTAGAAAGGAACATTAATTTAAGGGGCTTATCTGGGGAAGGGCCTTTAGCTTCAAGCACTGTAAGCAATTTAGGAGCAAAAGGGCCTTTGAATGCGGCACTTACTCATGTTGCTTCTGAGAAAAGCACATCATCATCAGGTACCGTGGAACACTCGCTGAGTTCACAAGGGTCACGCCTGACCAGGGGCTCAGATGGGAAACAATGGTTTGTACTTTCTCGATCACATACTATGTCATCTGGAGGTGGAATGTTAGAGAAGGGTGGTGGCATCCCAGAGGAGGGTGGTGCTGATAATGTGTTCTCTGATGCTAATGAAGGCAAAAGTAAGTCTGTAATCTGTCCAGGAAGAATTTAAAATTTTAGAAAAAATGAAGTGTTGGGAACACTCTTACCTCAATTTTACCAATGACAAAGGTTGCGTTTGGTCTTTGCAGGCCTTCATCTAATGAAGTTGAAACATTTTATTTAGGGGTTCTCTTAATCACTCAGATGAAAGGCTAGCGCCTGAAATATCAGCTTTAGAAACTCTCTACAATGGCCAATTTCCATTATCAATTACATTGATAAAACCAAATCATCTTGTAATCCCTTGCCAACCTTGTGCCACAGTTTCTTTAAAAACTTACCCCTTTATTCAGTTTTCTCTAACCTTGAAGCAGATAACATTCAAATAGATATGACATAAAGTATTATCTCCTTTTTTGTAACAAGGTCACTTATTAGGCACAACAGAGACTGGGTCAGAGGCATCAATTTCCTCAGGAAGTCTGTCCTCTGCCACGCTGCATTCTGGTACCACTGAGGAACTTAATGAAACATCACCCACAAACAGCGAGCCACAGGGACAAACACATTCAATGGTAGGCTTTCTTCACAGGGCTTTAATGTGGAAAGTGTTTTTCAGTCCAACAATGTGCTCTCTGTCTAACCAATCAGAGCAAACTTCAAAGAAAAATTACTGATTTTTTTCTTGTCTCTTTATTTTCAGGTATTTTCTTCCTCCCTTGAGACTCATGGTGAATCCTCTCCATAATCTGGTCACACTTAGGAACCAAAAGACATCTCAGGTGTTGGTCAAACATTCAATATATGTTTGGGAAATTTATGGAGATGGAATGGGGAAGGCTTTGACAAAGATCATCAAAATAAACTAATTTTAAAAAATGGTCTCCTTATGTTTTCTGTGCCCGCAAAGCATTTGTAGAGTAACTCATTCTATACAGTGCTATCAGGTTGGATTTTTTTTAAAATAATGGATTGTGCTTGAAAAGAAATCTTGGAGTTCTCCTCTAGGCAAGTTATCTAACTTAACAGGGGCTTAAATAATGGGGAACAGTCTTGAATATGTTAAGTTAAAGTTAGGAAGTATTTGTACAAAAAAGAAGGTAATTCAGTCTTTAATAATTCAGGATAGATTAAGTGCCTGTTATTAACCACATTGCTTGCCTCCCAAATCATCCTCAAGAAATGAGATGTGGCTCTTCTGTAGCCTGTGTTTCCCAAAATGTATTCACTCTCTTGATCTGTACATTTAAATAATCAAATCTTTATAAAATGTCTGTCCTTTAAAATTCTGAATGTAATAGAAGCTGCATCCTTTTGAAACTTACTGTTTACAATTTTAGAAAAATTAATATATTGAAGAACAAAACTAAAGGTCAATTTTCCTTATCCAGAAGACACAAATAATAAATAAAAGGAACCTGCATCTTTGAAACAAGCTGTTCATATCTTTACCAATGAAGTCTTCTTAAGAAAAATAAATGAAACGAAGAACAAAACTGAAAATAAATTTAACTCAACCAAAAAAACACAAGCAATAAACTATTGCTGTGTAGGTAACACTCCACTGCTAATATTCAAGGTTTCCCCAGTGAGTTTAAATGTACCAGAGTTTGAGTATTCAGAAAATCTTTCATCCAATGTCAGTGATGTCTGAAACCAAACAAAATTAAATTTTTTCCAGATGACTATTTTTCAGTAAGATAGGGGAAAAGCTTGAAATTATTTTTTTATTAATTAAGTTGTTAATAAAATCTACTAAGAAAATTGGATTCAAACAATGGTAGCTTCTAACTTTAGAAATGGTCTGTCACTAACTAGAGTCATTATGTTGTGTTATTGGGCCAAAGACTACTCACTTGGTGCCTGCTTAACTTTGTGGTAGAAAGAGGCAGTGACAGTTTTTATAGTTTGAAGAAATTAGAAGTGATTTTGGATGTCAGTCCATCAAAAATGAGCTGTCTTATTTCTCAGTCAGTTCACCTGTACCAATTTAAACTCCTAAGTGGAGAGTGGCACTGGGGGAGTTATGTGTCTTGTCGAAGACGACAGTGACCCTGTCTGGCCTTGAACCTAAACCTTGAAAGTGGAATCCAGCCCACTTCCCACTTAGCCACAAGACACACAGAAAAATATGGTCCAAACTTCTCAATTTTGGCTTGAATCCCACCTTTAGGCCACAGTATCTTTTATTAGTATAAGTCAAAACTATAACAAAATTCTCAAACATGGTTGGTTATCACTAGCCTCATTTGAGCATTAATAGGACAGTGTGCATGTCATGCTTGTTATCATACAGTAATAGCACAGTTGATTAGGGTTGGTAGTACACCTCATGGGCACTTGCTGTTGTTGTGCAATTTGCCAAGTTAACAATGTTTTTATTAGTAAGTAAACTTTTAACTGATGTCAAATTTTGTCATAGTTTTGATTAACTGGTAACAGGACTTTTTGTCCAGTGCCACTTTTCATCCAATTCAGTCTGAAATCCTATTTGTGACTTTGTCAATCACTTGAATGATTACAGACTGAATTTGACTCCACTCAGCCCTATTACCATTATAAACCTACTAACACTCTATCACAAATGGACCCCCACCACCCCCTGGACTGGTATCCTGTCAGGGGAGGGTAATAATAGTCCTAGTTGCTTCATACTAAGGAAACTGAGATAAACTTGGCCTGAATGGACCACTTTGCTTTGAGTACAGACTTTACACACCTTTCACTAATTACTATGATCAGTAGATGTGACAAATTAATTATTTGTTTCATGCTGGAGAAACCAAGATAAGCTCTGCCTGAATAGGCCACTTGCTTTCAGTACAGACTTTACATACCTTTCACCAATTACTATGATCAGTAGATATGATGAATTAACTTACCGCAGGTGAAGGAAATTTTAAGTTCTCATCCTTTAATATAGAAACCTAAAGAAAAGGATACCAAAATAAAGGTTTCTACACCAGAAATATTTATGGATTAGTTAGGAAACAATTGACCTTAATTGATATCAAACCAAAGTGTTAGCAGTTTCTCAATTCTGCTATTCTGGCGAGCTTGTGTACAACATCTTGAGTACATTAATTATAACCAAAGTAAAGATATGCTTCTGTGAGATGAAGAATTAACTCTTTTACTCCTAAGAGTGACTATCTTTGAATTTCTCCCTAGAGTATTATCACTGAATCAATCATTGTGGTTGCAAGCTAACAAAGCTGTTGATTGTTAGAGAAATTCTCCTTCATTTCTAATGAATAGTATTGAAAACAGTGTGGAGAATATGCATGCTGATGTTAAGGTGTAAAGCATTACAATCATCTTAGAATGTTCAGTTTTGATATACAAACATATTCCTGGCTATTAACTTTGATTAGAAATAGCTGACATTAGAACTGCAACTGTTATATCCTGTGTTGCATAGAATATCAAACACAATTCCATGTGTACTTAAATCCGTGTATTAAGTGGAGCTTTGTTAGGGTAAAATTTCCACACAGCCCCATAGTATTGTTAAACAAATCTGTTTTCCCAAGGGCAATGTATTGTTTTTGTCGTTGTTTTCTCTATCCAAGAACTGAATGCATAATGTAGTATGGGGCTGTGCGGAGATTTTACCCTTTATTAGTGTATCTGATTGGGTTTAACAGTAATAGACTTAAGGACTAAATGAAAACGAAATTTTACCTTTTTGGATGTAGAGTAATCCCCTTCAGCGATCGATGCTTTCTCATGTTGACGAAACAGTTGAAGTTCTTCGTTCGTTGCCTTCCACATACCATAGTATTTCCGCGCAAGTGACAGATATTTCGCTGCGTTTTTCCTCTCTGCTTCCATAGTTTCCAGAAGATCGGCTTCCATTTTTAAAGCCCGCTCCGTGACAAGTTTTTCAAACCTACGCACCTTATTTTCGTTCTTTTCTTCCTTAAGTCTTAGTTTCCTTCGTTTCTGTTGACGCCTTCGTGCCACGCGTCTGTTTTTCCGTCTCTGTTCTACTGATAAATCAGGAGCTAATGCTCCTTCGCTTTTTTTCTCGCCATCGAATGCATCTAGAGGAGCACTAGTGTCTTTCATTTCTTGTTCCTTAGCTCCTTCGCTTTTTTCGTTACAATCGGAAGCAATCGAAGGAGTGCTTGTGTCTTTCATTTCTTGTTCCTTTGCTCTTTCACTTTCTCCGTTGCAAGCGGAAGCACTTAATGAATTACTTATGTCTTTCATTTCTTTTTTCTCTGTTTTTGTGACGGTTGACTTTGCTTTAATCAACCAAGCTGGAATCACTGACGAAGACGCCATTATTGTGATGTCATGTTCGCGCCAAATATTGATTTCACCGTGAGAAGACTGGCGACAAAGATACGTTATAATATGTATGGGAGGGGAGGGTACAGAATGCTAAGCATCTTCTTTTGTTTGTTATGTAGGGCCACGTCGCATTGGAGCGAATTCAAATATTAACCAAATGAACGCGAATCAAAAATTAGCAAAAACTTTCGCAGTTTCTTGCCACGCAAGAGTGGATCTTTTTTCCTGCTGGTCCTTAACGTTTAGTTCACGCTTGTGTTACATATGGCTCCGATACTTTGATAAAAGTATTTCTCGTTGAAGTCATACGTCCTCAAAATTGCTGCCAATAAAAGCGGCGCCCAAAATTCATATCCCTTGAAATAAGAAGGGCTAGGAAAATCATGCCATCGCACGCCAAAGACAAGCGTACTAAAGAAATCTTTCACGATGAAACTTTTATTCAAATATATTTTGCACAACATTACAGCTAGGTGGTCAAAATAAAGAGACACGATTGTTTGTTGTGCCAAAATTTGAAGCCTCCGTGGTAGGACATCGATTCTTTTGAAGATTGGCGAAAATTGTGAGCGACTCGGAAACATTTGGCAAGATTTTCAAATGTTGGTCGCACTTATTTTACGCTATCTGTCGACAAATTTTTAACTTCAACAACAAACAAAAAAAATTCAAATGCAACCCGGGCTTTAGACAAGTGTTTTTTTTGTTGTTGTTTCTATTTTATTCCCCTATGTTTCGTTTTGTTGTTTTTTTTTCTCAGATTTGCAACAAAGGTCGAAAAAAGTATCATCTGGTTAGGATAGTTCCCCACAGAAACTGTACCGACACATGTTTCTCGAAAATGTTTTATCAGTATTATTCACGTTCACACAACATAGCTTTATCCAATACGTCTGGTATTCTCATTCGCCATTGGTCAAAACGCATCACGTGAAAGAATATTCCCCAGCTTTAGATAGGACAAAAATTTCTGAAATCAGACACTAATGTCTTAAATCGGGCAGTTGTGTCTAAAATTGGACATTAGTGTCAGAAATCAGACACTATTGTCAAAAATCGGACATTGGTGTCTAAGATCTAACTCTGGTGTCTAAAATCGGACACAAGTGTCCAAAATCAGACACTGGTGTTCAAAATTGGACACTCATGCCCAAAATCGGATACTAGTACGAAACAAGTTTCATCATGATAGGACAGTTCTCTACAATAACAGTACCGACACGTTTCTTGAAAAGCTCTTATCCATTTTATTCACCTCCACGCTATAAAGCCACATTCAATACGTCTGAGATTTTAAAATGAGTTTTCCTTCTTCTAAAAGTGCATAAACCGCAGTCCATTTTAGGAACGGAGTGTTGAGTTCTGACTGTTTCTTTACATTTGCAAAATAGGTCATGGTAATATGACCGAGTGGAGTCCAATTCGTTCTGTAACCGTTCTCGTGATTTGTTTATCACGAGTACGACTACAGTTATAATTGGACGACACCAAGTCCTGGCACCAATTTAATCAAAACTATTTTGATCCTGTCCACAGAATTCGCGAGTGTTGATGGTATTTTTTGATTGAAAAATTAGTTAAAATCTTCGAACGTTACAACAAAGATTGACCAAAAATTTCATATTCTGATGCACCATAGAGAGGTAGTAACTAAGACTTTGATAGAGGTTCCAAAGTGTATTACAACATCGCCTTAATATGTTCAAGAAAGTTCTCACGCATTTTTAGGAAAAAACATTTAGAACCTTCAGCAATGCGTATTAAATTACATACGAACTCAAATCAATTACATCCGAACACAAAGTTTAGCTGAAATTATAACTTGGTACAACGTCAACCTTCACCAAACTACTAATTAAAATTTTTCACGTACGATATAAGGCGTGTTTAAGTGAATTGCTCGTAGATGCAGAAGTCATTTGCGCGTGCATGTGCAGGTGTCATCTGCGTGCAAGCGTTGAAGTCTCACGCGTAAGTGAGTGGGGCATGCTTGCAGAAGTTACCCACGCGTGCATGCAGAGGTCACGTGCACGTGGAGTTCTTTATGCGTGCACGCAAGGGTCAGTTGCACGTTCGGGCAGAAGTAAATCTTGTGAATGCTCCCGGAAGTCACTTACGCAAGTACACACACGCAGATGTAATCTGTATGTGCACACTTAAGTCAATTGTGTATGCACATAGAAGTCACCTAGGAGTTCATACGGAGATCAAACGCGCACACACGCCTATGATTACCCGCACGCGCCCCATAAGGACGCTAGTTCATTTGCATGTACATATAATATGCATACATGAGCTCCCTACTTTAGTGGTAGGCCAGCAATTGTAGCTTCACAGGAGTCATTTTCACGGACACAAAGAAGTCAGTTCATTTTGTCATTGGCATTTCCGAGCAGAAGTCGACGAGACTTGTGCGCGGAAGTCACTTCCACGAGCTCATAAAAAGTCACTTGACCCGAAAATTGTGATAACCTTTTCCTCCTAGAATAGAATTGCCGTCTCAGTGGTCGGGGTGATGTTCAATTTCAACCATAATATCTCCTTCACCAACTTTGTCTCCGGCTTTAAAATTCACCTTTTTTATCTGTACAACAAAATAAAATAAGCTCAGAATTCTTAACGCTCCATGGCTTCTTTCCTTTTTTTTTAGCCGTGTACAAGGCCATGTTGGAAAAAATGGGAAAAATCTTTTTATTCCAGACTTAACTCGCCTCTAGGTGGAGGGGGATCACCCTGAGGCCCTAGATCAGAGCTTAAATAAAAATTGATGACAAATTTGAAATAATGTCTCCATTATCTTTCCATCATTTACTTACAGTTCCAGAAAGTCCTGCATGCAAACTGTTCTGCATCTTCATTGCCTCCACTACGGCTAACTCCTGTCCTTCATGGACCTGACGAAAAATAACGGACATGGTGAATGAGTTATATTTTAAATTCATTTGACGCAAACTAATACATGGTCAACTTCTCGTGGCCCAGATTCAAGTTGCAGGTACGGTTAAACTGAAATGATGTTTGGAACTCCGAGCATGTGAACGCCGATGTGACTTGCATCATTTGAGTCCTGTTCCACAGATGCTTCACAGACACTTGAAATCTACCCGTCTTTAGGATGAACTTGTCTCTTTCACGAGCATCTGAACATGCATGTGAAAGTGACATCTGCGCGCAAACTAAGAAGTCGCACGCCGAAGTCAGTCGCGCGTGTTTGCAGAAGTTACCCATGCGAATGCGTGCACGCAGAGGTCACCTGCTTGTGCACGTAGAGGTCACTTGTCAATCAACAATTTTTTGGCCTACCATGCAAAAGAAGCGGGAGGAACGTTCTTGTGGACTTGTCACGTAGACTGTTTTTTGGTCCTCGCGCGGACGAAGAGGCAGGGAGATTACGTGACGAAGAATCCAAAAATTTCATTATGTGAATTTGTAATGCATATCTTACCGTGTCACCGACGTTGACAGCCACTGATACAACTGTGCCAGGCATGGGTGACTTGAGGAATGGGGACATGTCCTCCTGGATAAGAGAGAGTATATATACATTAAAAGATTTTCTTATCTTCCATCAAAATTGAATTTACTAGTGATAAATTAAAGTTACTTAGACGAGATCAAAAGCCAAGTCAAGTTAACGTGGGAAAATTTCGAGCAAATGAACTAACGAGAGGAAGTGGAGGCCGAACGAGTGGGTTCATAGAAAGTCAGGTCAAATGAAGTCAGATTGATAACGGCCAGCCAAACAAAAGTCAACTGAAAAGTCATTTCAAACATCTGAATAGGCAAAGTTCAGTCAAATCTTGTGAGGATTTTTACTTTCTCAAGGGTTAACGCTTTTTAGTGATCAAAGCGCTTCACCACAAAATATAAAAGATAAAAAAGTGTTTTCAAGTAATTAGTTTGTCTCTGAGTTCCTTCCCGTTCATAAGATTTCACCAAACCTCTTGTTTCTCTGGCATGTACTTCATGTACTCGTACTGATCCTTCGTGTGCACTCGTAGTTTGTACTGCAAAAACAAAACGTGACTTACAACGGTGTACGAGAACGTCTTTACAACTATCGCACCAGTCTCCTAAATTTTCCTAATGAGGATAATGATTATCTTCTTTGATTGTAAATATATGAAAAATTCAGGCCTGTACAGGATTTGAACCAAAGACCTCTCTTGTTTTTCGACCCTTATTTTCACTGCTGCCGAAGTACTGTTCACTACTGCGAAGATCGCTTCCATATTCGATAATCTTCTTTGCACACAGTTCCTCCGTCGGGTAAATTTTCCTAACTTGTATTAAACTGATGCCCTTACTGTTGTTCCATAGTGCTGAATTGCGAAGAGATTTCCTTCTTTCTTTAAAGTCTACAAAAGAAGACAAGGAAAAGTCATTCATTGTTGATAAGTTATTGGACAACTGATAGTATAAAATTAACCCCAATCTTACCTGTAACAAAACATCATTTCCATTTATCTTGGCTCCGAATACCGGATCTGACAGTCCAGAGGATGTGTTGAAATCCACTTGCTTTCCATCTATGCTGACCTACAACGCAGCCAGAATTAAGAAAATCTTAGCCTATGTCAAGTTTTATTAAGACAGGAACGGCAAGTAAATTTCACTTCCACCTTCGCCATCGTCTGTCCGTCTAAAATCCTTAACAAGTATTGTTGGGTATCCTGTGATCCCAGTGTGTGAATCAGACAAGTAAAAAAGTCTCTCTTCCTCAAGGCTGGCCAGTTTACAATTCATTTATTCTCAGTTCATTAAAAATGTCTAGCATCCTAGTTCTGTTCCACAAAACTTAACCATTACCCAAATTTCATTTAGTTTCACCTTTGTTCAAAGTAAAATATTCTTTCATCCACACTATCCATTCTTTAATCGAACTCTTTAGTAGATTCCTATCCTTTTGGAATTCGACAAAACCTAGTATTCATTCCGCTCCTTTCAATGGTCGGTTATAGATGAAACTCACAAAGCAACATCACATCTAAATTTAAATCATAATTACACTGGGAACAGGAAAGAGTAAAATGCACGAAGGGGAAATTCTTCCACCATGGTGACCAAAATTGTGGGTATTGTTTTATATAACGTAAAGTTTTGACAAGAAGACCCTTTCAGACTGACCTCGAAATTTCCGTCTTCCCTGGCCCGTATCACAACTGGATAATCAGCTTTCTGCAAAGTAATTACCAGGTCCCACGCAGATGGTTTCTTGCTCACAGCATTGAGCCTAAAAACAAAATAAAATGATTGTTAAAAACAGCAATTTTCATGTGACCTGACTCCAAACTGCTACCGTTTTGTTAGCTCGAGGAACGAAAAAAAATCTCGGGGAGTTACTTTGCGGTGGATGTTTTCGAAAGCGGTTACGGAAAACTTATCGAAAAAGGCGCGTTTAATCACTCGGAAAAAAAACCCAAAGGGAAACACGCTTTGATAAGAAACAAAAACTGATAAGACTCCAAACGAAGATCCTCAAAAATGCGACCCACCAAAACTGAAAACTCACACGCATGAAAATCGTACACGTAACAATGCTGACGTTAAGGTCTCAGAGCGCGCGTGCAGAAGTCGCGCGTGCGGTAGCGCACGTCACACCAGTTCGGTTCTGTCTTCTTTATTCCCCAATCTTTTTCCCATAACTCACTTGCTTTGGTTCTTGAAGGCCATCGCTTTTCTTGCTCTTTGCACGAAGAAATAGGCTGTCGTGGCGAGCAGTTCATCTCTTTCTTCCTCAGTCAACTGATGACCTGATGTTGAATAAAAACCAGATTTAACAAATTCAACAACGATTCGTGGCCAACTTCTTCAAACAGCCACAATTGTGCTACCTCCCTTAAAAAGGATAAAACTCCACCGCTAGTAAGGTTACTATCCCCGCTCTGCAAGTTCCCTAAGAATTTTCTGAAAGCCATAACCATTAACATTTTTTTTTTGTGGAGAGGCACTGTGAAAGTACACTGTCTGAAACGAAATTATAGCGCAATGACCCTGACGCCAAATGTTTTTATGTTTGTTAGTTTTCCTTGCGCTCTTCACCTTTAAATCCACTTGGATACTCTTCGGGAAGAAACTTCGTGGTGATGGTTCCGAGGCGGAATTTGGGATGATTAAGAACATCACGGAGAAGTGAAACATTATATGTGACACCTACAGAATATCGGAGAACAAAATGTGGTTAATTTTGAGCTAGGTTGTGAATTAATGAATATTCGGATCACGCGCTGCTTTTTTTAAGCTTGAGGATAAAACCCTTGTGTGAGACCAGCAGCTGTTTATCATGTTGTGCACGATGATTCTGACTTGTAAGTCTGTGGATAACACCAAACGTGTGAAGCTACCGAGCAGTTCTATGTTATGGTGCTGTTATTTTGCTGTGCAAGGTAGTTCTAGTTGCGCATAACACCCTACGGTTTGACCGTTATTTCACTGTTACCTCTGATAACATAAGAATCCAACGCCTTGTTCATCAGATCAAGAGCTTCATTTCTTGTCGGCGAATGAGTAACCAGCTAAAATATTGATAAGTGACACTTTTTTAGTTAAAAAAATCACAAAAACTGCCCGCAAGGAAAGGAAATTATTTCATTGAAATAAGGACACAGAAAGGTGACAAATGGCGCATCCATCGCATTGGCTTAAGGGAGGGGTGGGTACGCAGTGCGCGGTTGCTCAGATACTGACATTGAACACAAATTTACCTTAAAATCACCAAGGAATGTTGGATCAATATCAGTATCTGGGCAACTGCCCACCTACCCCTCCCCTAACCCAATAACAGTCAATTGATGACAAGTTAGGGTTAATGTTGGGTTAGGGGAGGGGTAGGTGGGCAGTTGCCCAGATACTGATATTGATCCGAAATGTTTACCTTCGATATCATGGAGTCGTAATAAATGCTTATTTCACTGCCTTCAATGATACCACTGTCACAGCGAACCTAACAAGACAGAGAGGAACACTGTTAGCCAAGTCGATTTAAGTAAGAGCACTCAGGGTCTTAAAATAAGTGAGGGGAATGTGTTGCCTTTGTTATGACATGCGCAAATCGTTAGGCATTCCAGTTCTCGGATGAGGACGATAAACCGTTGTCCTGTCTCCCGTATGTTCCCTATACTGGTTATCAGGGGACGTTAAAGAATCCACACACTTCTCGCAAAAAGTCGGGAACGTAACTCCCTGTGTTAAGGTCTGGCCTTGTTATTGTTTATACAAGCCTCCATTTAAACCAGCTTTAAAGCTGAATTGGGCAAGCCTGTCTGTTGTTGCAAATAAATAAATAAATAAAGATTTTTGATGTTCGAGTAAAATTACTTACATTTGGTAGATGAGTTGGCTCAATATACTTGTACAGCCTTCCAATGGATGGCAAACCAAAATTTTTGTATGGATCCTAAACAAGAAACGGTCAAAGTCAAGCTTGTGATCAATGATCATTTTCTCCTTGCCCATGCTAGTATGTGATCAAGGTGATACTCAAAGAGAATTTTTAAAAGCATCAGGTAATGATTTTCACCCTGGATAGCACAGCTAATGACAGAGGAACTTTCCAAATGCCTCACCTCAGCGTACACACGGCACTCAACAGCCCAGCCATTGATGGGAATATCAGCCTGCGTGATGTTAAGCGGATGATCTGAAAGACGTTACACGCAACAAGATCAAAAGAAACTTGGCTTGACTTTGTACTCGACGATGAAATGCAAATCCGTCCCAAAAATTTATCGTAAAGGTATCTATTCATGTCAAAGCATCTCAGTTTAGGGAATTTTAATGCATCCCCGCAAAAAAATGAACAGTGGTTTCAAAATTATTAAGGACAAAGAGACCTCCAATTCCTTGAGAGGTCTGGGCTGCCCAGGAAAATTTTAAAAGTTTAGACTCGAGCAGTTTCATTCCCCCACAATTTGAGGTCTATCCCAAACTAAGTATGCTAAGAGAACAGTGACGATTATGTTAAGGTTACAAGTGGGGCAAGTAACCCACTACCTGGCTGCTAAATGAAACTCCTAAATGAATATTGAGCTAAAAAGTACAGCAAGCCTTCTTTTGAGAAAAATGTTTCCTGCAGTTCACCAGTCAGAATCAGTTATTCATGTCTCATCTGCAAGTTATAACTTCATTTCATTTCCCTTTTCTTTTCATACAACAGGATTCTCATACTTGCTGCTACTCTGATCATGTGTTCTACAAGATCAACTCCAGCTACCATCTCAGTGATAGGGTGTTCCACCTGCAGACGAGTGTTCATTTCTAGGAAATAAAAGTTCTTCTGTGAGTCAACCAAACACTCCACAGTGCCGGCTGAGTCATATCCAACTTCTTTAGCCAGTGCAACAGCTTGTTCACCCATTGCTTTTCTCGTGTCAGGATCCACAAATGGGCTAACAGGAAAAAAACATATATATTAGATTGCCAAAAAATATTAAAGACAGTATTTTCTGTCAATAGTTTTTGTGAATGGTGAAATATTTATAGAGACAGAAGTGGGTGATAATGCACTAAAATTGTAGGAAGTTATACGGGCCAGCTTAAGAGAGTTAAAGAGTTAACCCTTTAGGTCCCACTGGTGACCAAGACAAAATTTCTCCTTACAATATCAATAGAATATCAAGCAGACAAGTGATGAGAATAAAGAAAAATATCAATTAGGGGATTATTGGTTAATCCAATTCCAAATTCTCCTAACCAACATCATATGAATTGTATAGCAGACAGGAGAATTACTACTGAAATCTTGGGAGTTAAAGGGTTAAATCATTACAACCAAGTGGTTGTCAGCATTGTTTCAAAACACCATATTTCATTTGACAAACTGCATGATAGATATACATTGGCAGATCGAGAAGGAGGGTGTAAGTTGTCCACATCCTGCCTCATCTTAAAAACCAGTGAATTTTTTACTACTTGTCTAAGAAAAAAAATTCTTGCAATGACAGGATCACACATTACCAATTGATAGTTGTCAAGAAATATTTCCAGGCTAGAGTGTAAAAAGATTGGTGTTTATTTATCAAAGTTTGAGCACCCCATCAAAATTTCTTGGATCCACCTCAAATACATATAAAACAGAAACTTTAATTTTACCTAGGAGATTCTTCTATGACTTTCTGGTTCCGTCTCTGGATAGAACATTCTCTTTCATTCACATAAACCTATGTGTAATGCATAAAATTAGAAACTTTGATCCAATATTCTGCAATGTTACACAAACGCAATTCACAAATGCTTAGAAAAAGCAATTAGTAAGTCTACTGCTTAGGGGTTGAGGCAAAATGAAAAGAAATTTCTGGGCCAGTTAGGAACAAAAGACCATTACAAGTACACCGATTTGTTGCTCACCTGTTTGTGACATTTCGTGATATGTTAAACATGCAGTGCATAAAAAGCTGGTGAATGGGGGCTCATGGTACTAATGGACAGAAATTATTCAAGTTTAACAGTTACAGTAAATTATACAAATTAAAACTTACAGCATTCCCATACTTGTCTCCAAGAACCTTAGGAGAAGGATTGAAAAAAAAAAAAAAAAGAATGAAACCAAATTTGTTAAAAAAACATTGTACTCTGGACCAGCAAAATAAATTTGAGCAACATTCCACACATTCATGTAGTGAATCATTACTACTCATTTAATCAGTATACTGATCACCCAGTTAATATAGCACAAAAAGATGATTTTAACATAATTAGGTATTCCTAAAACACAAGGGAGCATACATATCTTTAGTTTTGCTTAGATGAATAATGAAGGATATTTCTAGTTTGCCAATCAGAGCATATTAATTTATGTTACCAGCATTCTGTACCTGAATCTCAATGTGCCTTGGATTGTCAATAAACTTTTCCACTAACAAACGGTCATCCCCAAAACTGGATCTTGCTTCTTGGGATGAGAGTCGAAACCCTTCTCTGATAGAAAAACAGTATGTCTTTCAGATCTTATGATCATATTCACAGCTTTATCATACTCACTTTGAAATCACTGGCGATCCTTGCAATCTAATTGCCTCCAACAGTGTGGTAACAGAATTAAATAGAAAAGGAAGAAGAAACTACATTTCCTACTTTGTTTCCTCATCATTCCAAGCAATTCTCATTCCTTTGCCACCTCCACCAGCGGAAGCCTTGATCATGACTGGATAACCTAAAGATTGATGATGACTATTAAGTGAAGCTCACAAGCAATCAAGAGGGGTATACTACCTATAAGCTGGCTATAATTTTTAGTTCTACTTGAGTCATGATTTTAGACCATTAAAAGATCCCTAGGTTTCTTTAAAAGGCTTGTTTGAGGAAAACATACCTTTTCCTAAAGTTTGTTCTAACCCTTTTTTGACATTGTTTAAAAAGATCTGTATCAACTAGAACTTGCATCTCTGTTTATTGTTAACCCTTTAACTCCCATTAGTGACCAAGACAGAATTTCTCTTTACAATATTAATACAATATCAACCAGATGAGTGATGAGAATAAAGAAAAATATCAATTTGGGGATAATCAGTTGATCCAATACTAAATTCTCTGAGCTAACATTATAAGAATTGTATGGTTGACTGTAAGGAGAATTACAAATTTGATCTTGGAGTTAAAGGGTTAAGCAACTGCTACATAATTTCATATTTTTTTCTTTCTGCTGTAATTGTAATGTTCTGTCTCTGTTCCATTAAGTTTTTGTGTGAGGTTATGAAAGAATTACAAAATGCCAAAAATATTTATTTCTTGCCAGTATGCGCATTGTTTTCACCAGATAATTCAGTCACTGCCAGATGATTTCAACTACATCAGTCTTTGTGTTACGTTTTGCTAGCACCATGTTGCTTTCATTTAAGATATTTCCTACTGGACCTGGTTATGCCACAAATTGTAAGCTTGTTCCTATTTCATTAACTTTTTTGTTGTTGTTCTTAATTTTGTTATATTTTCTTGGTTAAATATTTGTATTCATCATTTATTTTCAGTCTAATCACATATATGCATCTACACCTCTACAAATCTATACATCTAAATACATGTCCATCTGGCAAATAAATTAAATGTGCTCTCATTTTGTGGCATTCAACATGTAGTATTCATCTACAAGATCAATCTTTAGATGAGACATGTATGTGTACCTAGTGGAAACCACTTGAAAACTTAATTTAGAAAATAGCAATTAAACTTCATTTAGATATTAGCCTCCCAAAGAATTTGTGTTCTGAGTTTGTAACATACCTATCTCGTTTGCTATTCTGACAGCATCTTCATCATTCTAAAGAAACACAAAACTCAAAATGTTACAAATTCAGACAATTTTAATTCTTTCTATAACTTGGAATTTTGTTTGATAACATTTCAAAAAATCAGACAGGAATTTTATTTTGAGAAACCCTTACTGGATTGCTACACTGTCTTACTGTATTAAATGTGTTTTTGTAATAAATATCCATGGCTTGAAATGATCTGTGATCCTTAAAACTTTCGAAGTAAATACCATATAATTCTCCTGCAGTGTCACCTTTAAATCAGAAATTACAGTCGCAAGAGTACAGGAAATGAATCCCAACTAGAAGAGCTCTAGATTGTTTAACAAATATTCCTAATCGGTGCCATAGAAAATTTATAGAGAAAATTAAGTAGAATATTAATAAGCAAAATGATATTGGGGTATACAGGATTAATTTGAAGCAACATGGTCTCACCTTTACAACACCTTCAAATCCAGGAATAATATTAACTCCAGCCTTCTTGCCAATCAGTTTACTTTGAATTTTATCACCCATGGCTTGAATTGCTGCAGCATTTGGTCCAATGAAGGTGATACCAGCTTTTTCCTAAACAGCACATTCAAATAGTTATCATCTATTTAAAAAAATATTTGAAACGTTAATAGTTAAATGAAATGAAAATTGGGCAACATGTGACACAAAAAATTATTATAAGTACACTGTCAAAGGTAAACAAAGATAGAAAAAATAACCCTGTGACCAATTTTTTCTGTTTTCATTATAGGTAAGGGAAAACTTTGTAAACAAATTTATCAGAGACAAAAAATTTTTCATTGCAAATGATAGTTATTATTATAATCCAAAAATTTTTTTCTCATGCGCAATTGGTTTTAATGCATTGTGTGACCAAATATCCCCCAGTTTCAGCTGGAAAACTCTACATTTAAAATCTAATTCAAAATGACAGAGCTTTGTGTGGTTGTACAGAGGAAGGAACATGTGTTTTTGTTCGTAAATTGTACCAGAGAAAACTGTAAAGTGAACATCCCATGCAGTGAATGGTGAGCTGTTCATAAACATTTTCCCTGCATGTTAAAAAATATTTGAAGGATATCAAACACAATTGCCTCCACTGTTGTGTCAAATGGAGGCTATTCTTTATTTATCAAGCCTTCACCTTTTGCAGAATGAATAATTTCACTGCTTATGAATGAATTTTGTCTCAAATCAATTTTCTACATGGCTAGCAATCCAAGGGGTAAGTTATGCTTACCAGCATTGCAACAAACTTGCCATTTTCTGATAGAAAACCATATCCTGGATGAACCTGCAAGCAGTAATAAGTAATGAGTCCAAAAAGAGGAGAATATTAAAAAACAGATGGAGTGTTCTTATCATAGAATATTATAACACAATTCATGGCAGCTAAAAGGAAGGATTACATGTAACCCTTTTACCCCTAAGATTGATAAGCATCGAACTTCTCCCAACAATATCACACCTGAAGCAAACATCAAGATCAGGAGAAAAAAAGGGAATTGAAAACAAAGTCATGAAGCTCTTGATTGTTAAACAAATTCTCCTTACAATGCCATAGAAAATGTACAGAGAACAGCAAGGAGAAGTTGTATAGTGATGCTAGTGTATAAAAGGTTAAGATCTTTAGTAGTAAAGGGCCAAGATGTTCATTGTCTACCGCTTGTGCTCCTGTTGTATGTAAGGCTTCCATGATCGCATCCATGTTGAGATAACTTTGATTTGTTGGAGGAGGACCAACACAGAATGATTCATCTGCTGTTTTGACATGCAGCTAAAATGGAAAATAATTTGAAGTTCAATAACAAAGTTGAAGTCATTTTGTTTTAACCCATAACTCTTTAAATCCTAAGATCTAATTGTTAATTCTCCTCTCTAGCTACTGCAGAATTCCTTGTGTATTAGTTCAGAGAATTTAGAGTTAGATTAAGACAACAACTTCTACCTGATAAGTTTGGGTATTCTCATTACCTGTTTGCTGGACATTGTATGAGTATCATAGAGAGAAGTTACATGTGAATCACTTTAAAGGTTAAACTCCCATGAGTGACCAAGACAGAACTTCTCCATATAATATCAACACAGTGACAAGCAGACAAGTGATGGGAATAAAGAAAAATATCAATTACAGTTTTATAAGCTGGTCTAACACCAAATTCTCCAAAATTAAATCATGATAACTGTATGGTAGACAGTAAGGAGAATTACAATTGAGATCTTGGGAGTTAAAGGGCAAACAGAGATTTTCAGTTAAAAGCCAGTTACCAGTTACTGATTGCTGCTTAAAAAGCCTGGAAAGGCCTCCTTTAATTTCCATCAGTTAAGGTTTTATCTAATACAATTCCTGTGGTCCTTTTTTCAGAGCTATACCTATTTCACAATTGATAGTTACTCCTGAAGAAAAGGCTACTGTTAAATCTTCTGCTTAAAATGCCAATTTTTTCTTCAGACTCTAATGTATGATGATTTGAGTTTATTGGTATTATGTAGTTTAATAAATCCAACAAATAAAGACATAGGAGTAAGGAAGAAGTATTTTGATAGTAAACTCACAGCATTTGCATCTGCTTCACTATAGATAGCAACAGTTTTAATTCCAAGACGTTTACATGTTTTCATGACCTAAAATTAAAAGAAAAAAGGAAATTCATGTACAGTGACAAGATGTAATAAAAGTGTAAACTTAAATCACATACTCCCAGATATATGTTACATACCCTACAGGCAATCTCTCCTCTGTTGGCAATAAGAATCTTGTCAAAAAGCTACAAGATAATGATAATATTAGGGTGAGAGATCAGAACATGTCTGTCAAATAGTTTTTCCAAAGATATCTCATTATCATCATTATCATTATCATTGTCATCCTCATCGTCATCATCCTGATTACAATACAATGCATTCAACCCTTCAACTCTCAGAAGTGATTAACCCTCATCATCATCATTATCATCTTGAGTATTCACTCTAGTTAGATTCTCTACATTTCTTGAGGTTCTAAAAAGGAGAATTTGTTTAACAATCAAGAGCTTCTTTAGTTGCTGATCATTTCCCTCATTCTCATGACCTTAATGTTTTACTCAGGGGTGATCTTGTAAGAAGAAATTAGATGCCAGTCACTCTTGGGGGTTAATTAAGGAAAGGATTAAGGGGAGAATTAACAGCTAGATCATGGGAATGAAATAGTTAATATCAACTGTCACATCATATGTAAGACATCAAGTAGATCCATCATGATCATAAATAATTTACCAACAATATAATCACAAGAGGTAAAAATAAAGGTTATCAATGATAAATAGTCTGCATTTGCATCTTTAATCTGGATTTAAAACACACCTGTTCATTCCGAGCCGCTGATGTTTGCAGACCCCTAAGCCATGTCTGTGGATATCTTTTGAACCAGATTGCTCGTTGCTGTGAAATTAAATTCTATTGATTATTCATCCATTTAAAGTAACATCTATGTGAATTATTTTCACTAAAAAAGGTCGAAAGGCGAGCGAGCATTATCACTTCATATTTCACATGAATTCAGCAGTAAACACCCTTGTCTGTTAATCACAGAAATAAGCTGTAAAATTTCTTGAAGATGAAAACAGTATGCAGTTTCAGCTAGGAATGGGGTACAGCAACAGGGGTACACCCAAAGGTAACCCCTATTTTAGACCTTCACCCCTTTTGTTAGCAGAGAAAATCGGGAAGAGCTGTTGTGAATATCTAAATAAATATTTTAAGAGTAGAAAATAAAAATTATGACTTGCCACAATTTTCTTTAAAATTCAAACTATGCGTAAATTTAATTTCAGTAAAATGCACAAACACTTAGAAAGCCATCTAAATAATTACAGAGTAAAAATAGCGCAACGTGCAATCTGCCACGACGAAAGAGAAAATCTGACTTGATCATGACGAAAAAGTTTTTTACTCGAGGGCACAAGTTTACAATTCAAAAAACATTACGCATGTTACAAACCTTGCAAAATTTGCAAGACCCTTGTAATAAAGAAGAGATTCCAGATCCTACACTTTTTCCAGCCATCTTCAAACGTGACTGAAACAGCTGAGCCTGAAATCTATCTCTTCAGCGGGTCAAATACTACTGTCCGCGAGAGACTGGAGCAAAGTCAGGAACAGCGTTGTAGTTCGTTTTCAGGCGAAAAGTGTGTTTATTTCTCCGATTTTCATCGTCTGGAGCTGACTATAAGTAATATTTTGCCTTGATTTTCGCATATTTGAATATCTGAATATTTTAGTGAACGTGTCATGTAGACTTTGCTTCAAGTCTTTCAAGGAGTTTGCACTTATTGATGTTTGCACGTGCTAGCTTATAGTATTCCGATTCTGTAGATTATTGTAACTTATCAGTTGCGTTTGATTTCGTTTCTAGTTATTCGAGGATCATGATCATTCCTATTCGCTGCTTTACGTGTGGGAAAGTGATTGGGAATAAGTGGGAAACCTACCTCGGTTTCCTACAAGCAGAATATACAGAAGGGTAAATATTTAGTGTATGTGATTTGAAACATTAAGAAAAAGCAAATCCAGTTCCGGGTTTCTTAGCTTCTTGTCAGAACTGGAGTCGCAAAAAGGCCACTGAATGGTCTCGTTAGACTTCCCGCAACAGTTTCCCATCGAAAAAGTTCACCATTAGACTTAAAGTCGAGCAAGCTTACAAATATACTGAAATAATTTCAAAATTATTAAAGCAAAACTGAGAATTTGCGAAGCAGAGTTCAGGTTGATTTTGTTATTATATGACAAGTCAGTTACTTCCATTATTGAATTGTTGTCTCCCATGCATGATAATTTTAAGAATGAAGTGTAACATCAAGTAGTATTAACCCTTAACACCCTAACATCAGTATATAAATTCTCCATACTGTTCTCCATACATTTTCTAAGTTGCTGACAAGGAGAATTTGTTCAACAATCAAGAGCTCCATTAGTTGATGATTATTTCCCTTATTCTCATGACCTTTATGTGTGATTCAGGGTTGATATTGTAAGGAGAATTAAGATGTTAGTCTCTTCGGGGTCAAAGGATGAAGCCCTCTTAAGAATCTTCCCATTCTCATCTGGTGTCTTGACTTTGCATTCATTTGATATTGCTGGGAGAAATTACTTTTTGATCACCCTTTAAGTTCAAAGTTTAACACTCCTTTTTTGTCCCATCAGAGATGCTCTTGATGCTCTGGGTCTTAAAAGATACTGTTGTAGAAGGATGCTTCTTTCACATGTGGATCTCATCGAAAAGCTATTGAATTATGCTCCGCTGGAAAAATAAACTCTACTGAAATTTTGCATTGGTCAACAACAGAAGCTGCGATAGTGCATGCTTATTACTACAACCAAGACACAAGCTTCATGTGTGTACATGAGATGCAGTTGAGATTAATACTGTCAGTTGCTGTGTCTAAAGTTACAAAGTCAATTATGTTTAGCTGATGATATTAGTCAACTTTCTCTATGTTTGAGACAGTGTGCTAGGCTTAGTTTTCACATGTGCCAGAGAACAATTAAGCAGTTGGAAATTGAAACAGTACAGATAGAGTTCTAGGAACTTTTTTCAAAGCATTGGTCCAATTCATGTCTCCTTTTGTTATACTTTGTTGTTCTGTTAATATTCTTACATAACTTATGGAATTAGTCTAATGCACCAAAGAAAGTGAAAAGCATTTTATTAAAAAATCTAACTTAATATAGCCTTTGTTGTGGGTGCTTTCTTTTTACAGCAGGAAATCTTCAGTTTGTTTCTTGTGTTTTCAAGGTTTGACAAAAATGAGTAAACCTCACGAGAACCTTTTTGTAATTGTCTCTTCAAACTCCTCAACATTTGCTTTCAACTTAGTTGTGAGAATTTGAGGTTACATTAAGATAAATCCTCTTTCTGAGAAGTATGTCAATTCTTAGATCCTCTACTGGATTATGTTTCATTGATATTTTAAAGAGAAGCTACACATTAGTCATTTCTGTAAGTATAAGGCAAAGAATACAGTGTGCAGTATGCCTTTCCAGTTTGGATTATAATAAACCACTATTTAGAGTTCTATAGTTGATGGAGAGAGAAAGAAAGAGGTTTACTAAAGGTGGTGCTTACAGTGTTCTCCAGATACTTTTCTGGTGGTCATCTATGTGAAACCACTAGCTGGCAGAAGATAAAAATTTATTTCAAATCGAGACAGCTTTTTGGCTGCTTTGACCATTTATAGTTTCTGGCACTTCAGGAGGAAGAAGCCAGTGAAAACATAATCTGTCAGTGCTTCCGGAGAACACTTGGCTCACAGAAAATGTAAATAAGGGGCATAAGAGGGAGAAGTGGGCAGGGGAAGGGATTGTGAGAGTGGTTATGGTGTTTGAACCAAACTTTTGGACGTAAATAATCACCTATCTTGTTTTCAAGGTTATTATAGTCTTAACTCGATTATCATGATTATTTATTGAATTCTCGTGACCCATCGGAGAGTCTTGATTATGTATCTTATTGAGAGAAATTTGATTTTAATCATTCTTGCTTTTAATTTGACTTATTATTTAGTTCAGAAGAGCTGTCAGATGAATTTGCAATTTTCGTGTGGCAAATTGTCAGCAACGTCTGATGTCTGTCAGTGCTTCATGAGAACACTGGGCTCGCAGGAAACTTGAAGTTGTAAATAAGGGGCATAACAAAAAGAAGAGGAGAGGGGAGGGGGTTGTTAGGTGTTTGAACCAGGCTTTGAGCTTTTATTTCCAATAATACCTCAGCTGTTCCGGACCCAAGGGTCCTGCCAATGCTCGTGACTCCACCCTCGAAACAAAATCACTCGCGAATTTCGTGCAGGCCATTCACAGAGCATGTTACAAAGGCTGATTAGTCTTGATAGAGCGCTCGGCGATCCAGCCCTTGGTGAACGAGATTTGAAGAAAATGGGCGTTGGGATACTCTCTTTTGCTACTTATAATGTAGGCGGCATGATCTCTAACCTATGCCTAATATGAGAAAATGTTCACACTCCATACTAATTACAGCGAAATGTGTGAGGCCTATTCCAGGCGTTCAGCAAATTTCCGTGCGAAATAGTAAATGACACGATAGCACAGGCGGAGCGAATAACGAGAGAGGCTTGGTTAGGGTCGCGTAAAAAGCGACCCGACCCAAGCCTCGCTCGTTTTTTCACTGGTCTGAACTACATGGGAACGCACGCTGATGAGGGGAAGAAAAATAAAGGGAAATAATACGCTTGGAAAAACCACTTGTTTAATGGTGAATCTACAATTGGTTCAATAAGGCAGCTTGCCATTATGACAGTCACTGAGTCACTCTTCTGATAAAATGTAAGGTGTTGTATACACTCGAATCAATAGGAGAGAACTACCGTCTAGGCGACTAATCTTACATAAAACTGAACCTTCACATGTGGAATACACTGTATTTCCTTCTACTCTTCGGTACATCTTCGTAATATAATCGGAACGTCTTCGGGAATTTCTGGACTTCCTTGGGTATGATAAGCTATGTTCACGAAAATGCTCGCCTTCTGAGCATAATACCCACGTCATTGACTTAAAATGCAGTCAGGTGTTCATCCAGAGTTTTTTTTTCCGTCGTTAGAGAGATGCTACAAATAGTTGCCTATCATCGAACTACATGATGAAACTGTCTGATCGCTCGATACTCGTTCGAGAATAGATCGGCATTTTCTGTTTCCCAGCTCGAGTGGACAAAACAGCACAAATAAAAGCCGAACCAGTTCCTACCACGAACAAAAAGAAAGCCCAGCTGAGTTTACAATGGCCGAGCCTGTAAAAATTTGCTTCTTTTCCACAAGCTTGCTTAAATTCAACACTCCCCCAGCCTGAAGGGTAAATACCAAAACCAATCGCCAGAAGAAAGCCTGTGGATTAAAATGAAGAAATAGATAAATTAATACTTAGTAAGAACAAGATAAGATAGTGAGGAAAAGCTTCACTTGAGCATGAGCTTATCCAGATTCTGACACATGAAGCAACTAGGGGTTTCACTACTCCCCCTGGGAAGGGGTGTTAGTCCATTACAACTTACCCCCCTCCCACGACATTTAGCTGGTACCCATTTATGTTCTGGGTGGGGGGTGGAGAGAGGCATTGGGAGAGTGGGGTGTAGAGTGCCACGCCCAAGAACACGCCATTATATGACCCAGCCAGGTCTCGACGCCAGACCTCTCGATAAAAGCAAGATTGAAAACAGGAGATTGAAAAAAGTGGAGTTATTTTAGTGTGACTTTACCTTCCCTCCCTAAAGAGCAATGGAGAGAGGAAGGAAAGAACAAGACCGTGGTGTTTTGGGGAATTATCCTTAAAGTACCGAAGAGTTTATGGTTCTTATTATCCAGTCATAGGATACGTAGCTCGAATACTGGGAAGGTTTCGCGCCACGACAGCGCGGTGTTGATCACAAATCAGATCTACCCTTGAGCCTGGATGTGTGTCAAGTCACAGCATCTCAATAACTGTTTGATTCAAGTTTCCTGGGGTTCTGTATTACTCCTAACCGACGACAATGTCATTCCTTTCTAAATGCGTCTCTGGGAATTCGAAGAAATAGGTAAAAAATCATTTATCTCCAGCTATGTTTGGAATTCACTAATTACTTCCTAGAACGTTCTATTGAATAAATTGCTACTTTGCGTATTATTTTACAGAGAGAGAGAAAAAAAGAACAATTAAAAATCTATTAACGTTAGATATCTGACCTTTCCCCGGCGACCTTTTTATTGAAACTCAAACTCGTTAATCGGTTCCTTCCCTTTGTGTACAAACAGACACGGCACGAATTTTCATCTGAATTGAATCGATCACTATTTTTTATATTATCGCTGCGAAAACAATATGCACTCTCTTAATGGAGCCAGCATACTTTTGTTTATCAGATGAAATTAAGAACACCACAACAGAGCTTTGTTTTTGAATCAAAAAGTTTCCTTTTCAACACAGCAGTAGGTAATTTTCTTGCGGTCAAATTATTGACCCGAGCATATTTCATTCATTACTCACGAACGAAGGAAATTAATTGAATCTGTTTTGACGTTTTTAAGTAAATACTCAACCCAAATTTTACCCAGACAGTTCCATCAATGTTCATCACGATTTGAACCAGATTCAATTTATAGTTTTTTGAAATGTAACTTTGATAATCGTCATTGTGTCAATTTGTCAAATCATCGCGGCTACTTTGTTATTAATAGCCATGATCAGAGCGAAACTGCAATTTACCTCGATTCATTATAAAGTAGAAGGTATAATTCTTTTGAACGGAATGTTAACTCTGGAAAGTACTTTCTTTTCACGGAATAGCACTTAGAAATTATCGAGGAAAGTATTCCCAAAATATTTGCACAAGTGCTATAATAGCGTTGTTCAACTTTGTAAACTTTAATTTTGTGATTAATTGAGAGGTGAGAGGCGGATAATTTGCAACACCGACAACTCAAGCAATTTTCAGGGCAGCGAAGCAAACTAATCGATAAATCGTTTCAAATTTAACGTGGCTCGGTAAAGAATCCCTTTAAATTCGAAATTTCAACCAGAAAGTTTCGAAAGAAAGTAAACAAACTATTGCGAGGTGTTATATTTAGGAGCTAGGAGCTGCTTGGTAAATATACTCGACACCCTTGTAATGAGATCAGCTTTTGGCGCATTGATTTTAGTCTCAAATTTTTTACTCACCAGCTATTACTTGCAGTGCTCCTCCGATCCGAGCCGAAGTCCTCGTGAGAATGTCTTTACAACAGCAGGAAAATATAGCTGTGAATGCTACAACAAGTAGGAATCCACAACCGATTCCTATCATCACTGTGCTGGCTTTCCATGCGTCCGAAGGAATGTCTTGAAAACTTGCATATCGGCCACAGGCTTGCACAAGGACTGAGAGCCCGTTTTCTTGTTTTTCTAAGAAATTACATCGACGAAACACGCCTAAGTAAACTGTTGTGTTGTATATCCGTCCCTGTATCCAATAAGGAAGGAAAAAACCCGTAGAAGCCGCGAGCGCGCTCAGAACGGAGAAAATCACCCAAAAGAAGCCAGTTAATGTCAAATTGTTCGACATGACAATATTTCGCAAGTTTAAGTTGGGTTAAGAGTTAAAACCTATGTTTACGAATTGCCACTCAAAATTCTTGAAATCCTGTCGTCTACGCGAATTTTTCGCTGCGTGTTGGCAGCTGAAACAGCTGGAAATTCCGGGGTCTTTCACGACTTTAAATATATCCGTCCAAATTGAATGGATTCATTCCAAGTAAACAGTACCAGGGGAGAATTTGTCTGTAACCTACACCTTAGAGATGGTGACAATATTTGAACGTCAAAGATAACGCGATACTTAATTTATTGTCTCTCTAACAAATAACATTGGATGCGAGTAATTTGAGAGTTCTCAAGTAATAGAGTTTCTTTATCATGAAAGCGAAAGATGCGATTATGGTAATACAACATGCTCAGGTGTGAAGTGCCGTGCAAGTTTTTGCGGTTGATTGCGCCAGGAAAATGAAAAATATAAAGCCACTGTTTTGCTCAGTTGTGAGAATATTGAATTAGATAATAAATTTAATAAAACTGTCGAATGATAACTTGTGTTTCCGGTACAGAACATAATTTTCACGGCGGTCGCTATCACAGAAAAATCTTGCGTGAATTCTCTCGTCAAAAAGGTTAGTACAATCTTCTGCTTATGGAAACAGTAACTGTTGATAGAGATATTGCTAGAGAGCTTGTAGAACTGATCCTATTGCACAAAACTTTTGCAACTCAGAATATTGTCTTACAAATTAACAGGTTACACAAACATTTAAGAAATAAAAGAACGATATTGTTTTGAACGTAAACATTCCCCCATCTTCTTGTTTTTGAGGTTAATTCGGATATCATGATTATTTCTTAAATTCTCATAACCCATAGTGGACTTTTGATTCTGTATCTCATTAAGAGAAGTTCAATTTTAATCAATCTTGCTTTTAATTTGACTAATTATTTAGTTCAGAGAAGCCGTCAGATGAAATTGCGATTTTCGTGTGGCAAATTGTCAGCGATGTCTTCTCCTCCAGAGGAAATCCAAAGTTATGAAAGCAGTGAATTGTTTACAAGATATAAGGATTATCAGCTCCGCGGCACGATTTCTCGTCTTTCCGGCGTGGCTGGAGCTGTGTTATCTCGAGCTTACGATTTCTATCGAGGATAATCCGTTCAATTACTTCATAATAGATTCGCAGAACAGATAAAATATTCCTGATAAACAAAACCGCTCCAAAGATACTAAGTTTCTTTCGGAAAACTAGTCTGAATTGCTAATGGTTTTCTGTTGGTCCCCAAACTTCCACAAACATCTCCTTAAGATAGGTCATTGCTGAGCTGACTAGATCAGAGGTCACCTCAAGCTCATTTAAAAAAATATGAAGTGTGATTAACTGCCTGTTCTGAGAAGATTGTCAGTAATAAAAGGGATTTGTGAGGTTGATCTTAGTAACCAGGTAAATTTTTAAACAGCTTAACATTTCCAATGCAAATTAATCGGAGGTGGTACAATAGTTGTCAACTCTCGCCCCCGCTATGACGAACAGAGACTAAATCTTCGCGCACAGCAAAACAAATTCTGGATCCGGTATTACCTACCACAGCCATGACGTAATTGGACACTTCGCGTGACTCCAAACCAGCATTGCTAGCGTGGTGTACCTACCCCTCCCCTAACCCAACAACAGTCAACTAATAACAATTTACGGTTAAAGTTGGGTTAGGGGAGGGGTAGTTACAAGGTGCGCAGTTGCTCAGATACTGACGTCGATTCGTTGCTTAACTAATGTTACAACTAAGAATTTGCTTTCTGTTGTCTGAAAATGTACACGTTGGCAAAGTACTTTTATCCCTGCGTCCTTAAGTCAATGTGTGCACCCCATCTAAGAAGAAACTGGAAAGCCCTAATGAGCGTGACGGTGTACGTTGTTTGTTCCTCTTCACTCTTAAGAATGATTAGCATCTAATTTCTCCTGACAGAATCGCCACTGAATCAAATATGGAGGTTATGAGAAGAAAGGAAATGATCGCTTGCTGAAGAAGTTCTTGATCGTTAAACACGTTCTCCTTGTCATTATCGTAGGAAACGAAAGGCGAACAGTATGGAGAATATGCACATTGATGTCAAGTGATAATAACCATTTCTGTCATCTCCTTGCGCTGTCACTTTTTCTGACCCAAAATAAGAAATTAAGGTTACCCTTGCTTAGAGTTGACTGTGTAGTGCAACTTCGGTTTGTTTCATTCAAATTGTACTCTTCTTTTACGTATGTGCTATTATCGGCCGAGTTATAGGGTCAGAAGTACGTTCACTGCTGTCTAATCTGACTAATGTTTTACATTCGAAGTTAGACTGGGTTGAATTATGGGGAATTCTATCGTTCCTATGGTTTGGAAGATGATTATGGTCTTCTTCATAAAATAAACAGGCTTTCTTCTAATACACTTTACCTGCTTATTTCTGTAGTGTGTACTTTGGCAACAGAGCCTTTCAACCTCAGTTTGAACTTTGTAACAAACAAGATTTTCTAAATTTGCCAGGTAGCTGAAGAAGGATTAGCAAATCGGAAGTTAAGTGATTGAAAATTCGAGTTGTAACTGAGAAGAACAGCTCACTGAAAAGTGTCTATTTTCCTTTTCACATTATTTTTATTTTTAGGACAAACGGAGCAAGAGTTTTAGGACGACAGTTCAGGGATTTTTACATGCATGACTAACTATAGTTTTGACGTGGACGCTAAGATGGCGATAGGCGAGTTTTTCTTCACTCCTCTGGTGCTGTTGATTGTTCCAAAATACTGCCACGATGAATTCTTTATCAACTTCAACTTCTTCCATGGTATGCTAAGCTCATACGCTGACAGATCGTCGCTTGTATCATGGTTTTGAAACCTTGAGATCTTTTTTTATTTCGGTATAGAATAGTCTGTAGATCTTTTTTGTGTGTTAATATTTCAAGATATCTTGTTGATTTTTTGTTGTTGCAGCTGCTTGCCTGAAGATTGCAATCAGCAAGTGCTTGGGTTATGGAATTGTCGTTGGATCGGCAATGAGTAAGTTGTTTGGAAATTTTCACTCGAAATTTTAGAAATTATATTATTTTCAGAAATAAAAATGATTGATCGATCGAACGATCGATCGATCGAACTTATGTTAAATTGGGGACTGTTGAAGCAATGCCATGCTGAGAATTTCTTGTGATAAGTATAACAGATCTTGCAGCCTATGTGAAAATGGTCCTTTTAGCGATCGCGTGATATCCCCTACCCCCACATCAAGCAGGGAACACCTCGTGGTGCAAAGAACCTAAGGGCACAGACTGGAAGTGGAATACACACCCACCTTTAAAAAAGTCAGATCAAGAGCAAGAGTCGATTTTTGCTGAAATTTTGCCAAACGATCAATTCATAGAGTATGGCACAACTTGAAGAGATCGTGCATGTATAGAGCCATTCTTGGCTACGTGAGCTATGTGCATTACGACTAAACCTAATAATGTCACAGATGCTTAATTGATTTTCAACTGCTGCATGCAATGCTTTGATGCAAGCTTCTGCGGGAAGCCCCCCACACTACAAAACATATCTATGCATATATCAGTTCTTCCCAGCAGCCTTGCCAAATGGTGCATGATGGTGAAATTTAAAAAGATACAGGCCAATACATTGTGCTAAACTAATATGGTATCATCAACAAATTTACTTTTCACAGTCAAAATTCCCCAGATTATCAAGGTTATACAAGCCTCTAGTGTGGAAGGTCTCAGTTTGACAGCTTTCGTACTTGAGTTGGTAGCTTTGACCACTTCTGGAACGTACAGCTATGCCAAGTCTTTCCCTTTTAGGTAAGTTTTAATCTAATGAATGAAGAGTAATCCAAGTTTGTACTAGCTTATTAGGGAGGTATGACTAAATGGGTAAAACATGCACAGTAGGGCTGAATAGGAATTTTTGATTTGTGGACAAACCCAGATTGCAGTGGGTGTTCTCTGTCCAGAAAAAAAACATTCAAAAACATTGATTTATGGTGCAGCAGAACAGTACATTGAACCATTTACACCTAGAATGGATTGACATGTAGTTTCTCCTCAGAATTGTGATGCATTATTCAGCAATCAGGTGTGATGAGAAAAGATACTTTTATCAGATGGAGGGTGTTATCTTGATGGGACAACAAATTCTCCAGACTAATCTACAGGGAGATCTGTGGCAGTTAGAGGGGAGAATTGATAATCAGATCTTTACTTTGAGGGAGAATTTTTTTGTTTTCATTTTAGTGAATAAGGCCTCCTCTGTACTTATGGACTACCAAAAGAGGGGAGGGGAGGGGAGGGGAAGGGACGAGAGTTGGGGATGTGTTTTGGTAACATTTTAATTGACTGGCTTGAAAGGATAGACTCAGTTACCAGCTGCTGTTTGTGGAATTTGGATGTGGGTCTAGTGAGAGAGAGTGATCAAATCAGGCCCAAATCAAGAGGTGCATGGATATAATGCTTTAGTTGGCTTCTGATACACCTCTAGATTCTCCTTCCAAATTATTCTAATATCCATACATTATCCAACAAACAGTTAATGAGAATTCAGTTCAAGGGTTAAAATAGATTTCTCTTAATCCATGGTCTCTCCTTCCTTTTCAGTGCTTGGGGTGAAAATTTCTTCATGTCAATTCAGGGCTGTCTGTTGATCTTGATGTACTTTTACTACACCAGCCGACCTTTGGCAGGTGTTGTTTTCCCAGTGTTGTATGGAGGAATTGTTTATGTTCTAGCATCTGGCCTGACTCCAATGTCAGTGTTAACTAAATTTGCTTCATTTAACATTGGTCTTCTTGCAACAAGTAGGGTGAGTTGCAGGACATTATTGATGTTTTTTTTCTTCTTCAATAGTTTTAACTCTTTTGTTGTTCATAGTTGAGGTAACAGTCACTTATTTTGCCAGAGTCTGAATCAAGAAGCTCATGCCTTATCCCTGGGTGGAGTCATCATATCTTTACTTTCTTGCTATTTTTCTGTTTTTTCTGTCATCCTTAGATGATCTACTAACTAAAGGGTTTGTCATTCATCGTTAAGATTGCATTGTGCACCAAGAGATGTACTAGTCTAATGCTAGATTCCAGTTTTAGAGGTCTGGGATCAAGTCCTGGCCAATTCATTGTGTTGAGTTCTTGCACAAGAGACTTAACTCTCCCAGACCCTCTCTCTACCCAGGAGTACAAATGGGTATGGGCAAACTGCTGTGGACATTTTACCAAATGCTGGGGTTAGAAGAGATGAAAGAGAAACTTTGAATGGACTAGCACTCAATTCTGGGAGGAGGAGAGTAGAAATTTTTGTAATTGTTTCATGTCACTTTACTGATATTCAATTATTCTTCAGCTCATACAGATAGTCACTAATTTCCGTAATGGCCACACAGGGCAACTATCATTCATCATGGTTCTCTTGTTGACCTTGGGAGCCGTGGCGCGCATCTTCACCACTATACAAGAGACCGGTGACAAGGTCATGCTAGTGACCTTTCTTGTGTCAGTTACGTTGAATGCCACTCTCACCTTCCAAGTTCTCTACTACTGGAATGTCAAGCCTGACCTGAAGAAGAAGGAAGCCTAAAGACTTGTCTTTTGATGTGTAACATATACTCATACATTTTTAATCCTGTACACCTTAACATCAGTATGCATATTCTCCATACTGTTCTCTATACATTTCCTAAGGCGCTGACAAGGAGAATTTGTTTTACAATCAAGAGCTTCTTTAGTTTGTGATCATTTCCTTTAGTTTCGTCCCTTCAAACCTTAAATTCCCAGAAGTGATTAACATTTAACTTCTCCCAATAGCATTCACATGTTAGTCAGCAAAAAGGTAATGAGAATACTCAAAATTATCAGGTAGAAGTCATTATTTTGATATAACAGAAGATTCTAGTAACTAATTTACAGAGAGATGTATAGGAGTTGGAGGGGAGAATTGACAATCAGATTTTGCGCATTAAGGGTTAACGTCTGAGTCAGGGGTGACATTGTAAGGGGGAGGTAGACACTAGTTACTCTCAGAGGTCAAAAGGTTAAAATTCTGGATGAGGTATCTTCAATAAAATGACTGCCCCACTTATCCCAGCATTAAAAAGGTGTGGAAGATGTGAGATGAAAAAATTTATGGTAATAAAATGATAGGCATTGGGAATTTTTTTTCTGATATTTGAGAAGGAATTTGACAGCTCACAAAGCAATGTTTTTGTGTTTCTTCCCTTTGGTCTTTCTGTGGGAAGTTGTGGTAGTCCTCAAGCATGAGAAACCTCTCTCAGTACTTTGGATGCAAAGAAATTGCTTACTTTCCATTTTCTTAGATGAACAATTTAACTTGTCTATTCATATTAATTTTACATACCCCTTACTACTTGCAAAGCTTTATTTACAACAACACCTCTTTTGTCTTCAAAGGTTAAGTTATTTTGCTTTAATAGTGAAAAAAATGTGGTAGTTTAGTTACATACAAAGTGAGTTTGCAGCGCAGACAGTGTTGAATTTCAAATTTGCATTGTACACGTTGATATTTTTGCATTAATAGTCATGTATGAATGGATTCAACAGAATGATTTGCTCCATTAATAAAAGTGATTCCCATGAGTGAAAGTCTAGATTGTATTCCATGTCTCTTTTAACCCTTTAACTCCCACAAGTGACCAAGACAGAAGTTCTCCTTACAATATCACTTCAATATCAACCAGATGAGTGATGAGAATAAATAAAAATATCAATTTGAGGATAATTGGTCGATCCAATACTAATTTCTCTTAACTAACATTATAAGAATTGTATGGCTGATGGTAAGGAGAATGACAAATTTTATCTGGGAGTTAAAGGGTTAAATCTTTACACCCTAACATCAGCATGCATATATTCCATACTGTTCTAAATACATTTCCTATGGTACTTACAGTAGAATTTGTCAAACGATCAAGAGCTTCTTGAATTTAGGATCATTCCCTTTATTCTCATGACCTTGATGTTTGATCTAAGGGTGATACTGTTGGAAGAAATTAGATGCTGATCACTCATAAGGGGTAAATAGCTCCTTGGAAAGAGAGTAAGAGAGGGTAATATTGAGGTCACCTTACAGCATTCAGCAAGGTTTGAGCCATGTAGAATAGATCACGCAAGTTCTTCTGGGTAAATTTGTATTGCTACGCTCATAAGTTGGGATTGAGAGACAAAAAGAGTGCTAGTTCTTCAATAGCATTTAGATATTTCTTGCTGCATCAACTGATGGAGTAAAGACTTTTTTTCCTATGAAGACATGTTATTTACTAGTCTCATCAAGAATTGTTGAGAATAAAGTTGTGTACAGAAGATTGGGAAAAAAATAATTGTATCTGTCAAATCTTCAATTTTGAGGGATTTCTGGGCCACTGGTATGTCACGCAATCTTCATGAAATGCACGAAATGTATTGGGTATTCATCTTTGACCAGCGGTAGAGGAGCAGGGAAGCGCGAGAAAGTGAAAGAGGAAAGTCTTGTGGAAGAAATATTCCATTCCAGATGGCAGTAGGCGAGTTCTTTTTCACTCCGTTGGTTCTCTTCATTGTTCCAAAATATTGCCACGATGAATTTTTCGTCAACTTTAACTTTTTCCACGGTAAGCTAAGTGCTTGGCTATCCAATTAAATATATGTCTATTAAATTTAAGTCTATTAAAATGTCATTCAGAAGTGATAGGGAAGTGTTAGGGAAGTGATAGGGAAGTACATTTTGTGACATTAAGCTCGAAAGAAATGTTAAAACAAATGCTGGTTAGCAATCGTGCAACATGTAACTGATCTGTCAAAGTCTCTTCGATATTCGCTGGCGATTTCGTGGTTACTCTCTATCACTGCTTGCCAAGATGATGAGACGACGATCGATCCATATTTTTACTTTTCCTTTCATTTTCTTCACAGTTGCTTGTCTGAAGATTGCACTCAGCAAATGCCTTGGATATATTATTGTGCTTTTAGCTCCGATCAGTGAGTCAAAAATTCTTATACTTTTATACGAGGCCTAATAGTTGTTTACCAGAACGCTGCATGCTTGAGTGACTTTCCAAGAAGTTAATTAAATCATAAATCACGCAGTAGGGTTCTTCTTTCGTCACACGATGCGAAATGTCTCGGAGAAGAATCCAAGGAAGGGTAGCGGGTATTCCTTTCCTATATAAGCTATAAAGACATAAACTGTTCCAGGGGGATTGGCCTATGAGTCATTTTGGTATGAAAAGGTTGTATATTATGACTGAGTTCGATCAGAAAGGGACCAGGAGAGTATTCAAACATATTTATCGTCTGAACTCAAACGAGTGATAGGAAGAGAGTTGCAGAACAAAATATATCATTCGAGCTATATTTTTGGAGGTAATTTTCCAATCCTTTAGTCTCCAGCTTTGCTCCAACAAAGCGTATTGGTTCCAAAACCAAGAAATTTTTTCAGGAAACAGGTTCCAAACTCAAAGCAGTTTTGATTTTGGAGACCACGTTAAAAAATTAATGAAGAAAATGACATGTTTCGGCCTAAATTAGTGTCTTTTAGAGTGTCAGGAATTAAAGATATAGGCAGCACATTCATACAAAAGTTTTTAAAGTGTCACCCTCCAGAGAAACACCATAACAGTAAAAAGACGTTTTACTAATACCCAATCGTTTTTGGACACTATTGTCCGATTTGAGTTTTTGGACACTAGTGGCCAATTTTAGATTTTGGACACTAGTGGCCGATTTTAGATTTTGGATGCTGGTGGCCAATTTTAGATTTGGGACACTAGTGGCTGATTTGAGATTTTGGACACTTGTGGCTGATTTGTGATTTTGGACACTAGTGGCTGATTTAAGATTTTGTACACTTGTGGCTTATTTTAAATTTTGTACAATAGGAACCGATTTGAGATTTTTACACTAGTAGGTGATTTTAGATTTATGACACCAGTGCCTAATTGGAGATTTTGGACACTAGTGGTCAATTTTATATTTTGGACGCTGGTGGCCGATTTTAGATTTGGGACACCAGTGGCCGATTTGCGATTTTAGACACTACTGTCTAATTTGGGATTTTGGACACTAGTGGCCAATTTTAAATTTTTGACATCAGTGATTGATTTGAGATTTTGGACACTAGTGGCCTATCTCAGGTTTTGGACCCCTCAGCCAATTTGGGACACTAGTAACCGATTTAAGATTTTTGGACACTAGTGTCTGACTTTAGATTTTGGGCTTTTGTGGCCAATTTTGGATTTTAGACACTAGTGGCTAATTTTATTTTTGGGACACTAATTGCCGCTTTGAAATCTGGGACACTACTTGCTGCTATGAGATTTTAGATTCTCTTGGCCGATTTTAGATTTGGGACACTAATGGCTGGTTTTAGAGTTTGGATGCTAGTGGCCGATTTCAAATTTTGGACACTAGCGGCCAATTTGAGATTTTTGATACCGGTGGCTGATTTTAAATTTGGACTTTAGTAGCCAATTTGAGATTGTGAACACTGGTGGCCCCCTTTGGATTTTGGACACTAGTGACCGATTTGAGATTTGGGGCACTAGTGGCCGACTTTGGATTTTGGACCCTAGTGACCAATTCGAGATTTTGGAAACATGTGGCCAATTTTAGATTTGGGACACCAGTGGCTGATTTGAGGTTTTGGACTCTAGCGGCCAATTTGAGATTTTGGACACTTGTGGCTGATTTTAGATTTGGGACACTAGTGGCCAATTTTAGATTTGGAACACTAGTGGCCAATTTTAGATTTGGGACACTAGTGGCCAATTTTAGATTTGGGACACTAGTGGCCAATTTTAGATTTGGGACACTAGTGGCTGACTTTGGATTTTGGACACTAGTGGCCAATTTGAGATTTTGGACATTTGTGGCCGACTTTGGATTTTGAACAGTAGGGCCAATTTGAGATTTTGGACACTTGTGCCTGATTTTAGATTTGGGACACTAGTGGTCTATTTTAGCGAATTTTAGATTTAGGACACTAGTATGCCTTTTAGACAATAGTGTGGATAAACGACTGGGTTTGCACTGCATTAATTTGAGAGGATGACAAATGAATACAACGTAAGTCTTTCTATTGTCGAATCTGATATGTTGAGATAGCCTTAATCTCCTCAAACATTTAACTCCCAGTTATATTTCTGATTTTTAAATCAGAAATAAAACTGATTTTTCCTCTAATAACAGATGTGGTGATTTTTTTCATTTCAAAAATCAAATCTTGTTTTAGTCAAGTTTCCACAGATACTCAAGGTCCTACGGGCATCAAGTGTGGAGGGCCTCAGTCTGGTGGGCTTTGTCACAGAACTGGCAACACAAACAGTAACATTCAGCTACAATTCAGCCAGGGGATTCCCATTCAGGTCAGCGATTAAACCGCTTGACTGTCGACAAAGTTGTCGATGGCAAAGATTTATGAAGATACATAACGCGCACCCCCCCCTCCCCTTCATCCTCCTTCCTCTTAAGCCGCGCGCATGCACCTCACAGATTACCTGGTCACTTTCTCGCGGTCAACCAGACTTATTCTCTTATGTGTGAGTAGGCGGTTAGAAAAAGATTCCCTCCAATCCTTACACCACCTCCTCTAGGGGAGAGTAGAGCACCCCATGAAATCCAAAGCGGCCCGAACATTTCTTCTCTTGCATTGGTTCGGGCTTAAAACCTAAGTTTTTTGGTTAGGGGTGAGACTTTGGTCAGAAAGCGCGCGAAATTTTTTATCCACAAGTGCGAAACTTAATCTTGATTGTCAGGTTACTGAAAATCGGGTGTCAAGCTGGAAATTTCTTAAAGTACCTCCCTAGGCCAAGTCTCTGCTATGAAATCTCTGTAAGCCCAGTTTAAGGGCTCAAATGAAAGGGTCATGAGTACCCCCAAAAAATTCAAAAACTCTGCAGCCTTGGGGACTGAGAAAATGCAGGCTTTTTGGTATCGAGGATATTTTTTTCTGCAACATTTCACCTTTAATTTTGATGTTACATTCTTTTGTTTCAGTACCTGGGGTGAGAGCTCGTTTAAAGCTTGTCAGACCTGTTTTCTTGTTTTTCTGTATTTCTACTACACCAAAAGAACTGTAGCTGCCATCTTGTTCCCTTTCTTGTATGGAGCCATTGCGTACGTACTCTTGTCTGGACTAATCCCCATCTCTATTTTGGTTCAACTGACTTCTTTGAATATTCTACTCCTTTCCATAAGCCGGGTGAGTTCATTAAAAATAATGTCCATAGCTTGTTTTTGCACTTATCAGAGCTAGCGGCACGTTTAATTAATCTAGGGAAGGGGAGGGGGGGGTGTGGAATGCTTATCGAACCCTTAGCCAACTGCACATACGTTCTAAAATTTCCCAATGTCCTTTGCGCAATGCATTGGTGCAAACGAACCCTTTTTACTCAACTCTGTCAAACAACCAGAAGAATTTGGTACGAGATAACTCCTTCTCCTTAGCAGGAGACCTTTTAGGAAACCCGAGGACCTTATGTGTCCTGTCTGAGAAACCTCGTTCCTAGCGTTCTCTTTCCTCCTTCATAAGAGAGGGCTCTGGAAACGTAGATGTTGTCTTGGTTGGTGTCCGAGAGCGTGATGCAAGAATTTCAAGGACCAAAATTAAAACGTTTTTTGTCGACATGGAACTTTTTTTCCTCCATCAGGTTTCTCAGATCACGGAAAACTTCCGCAATGGTCACACGGGTCAGTTGTCATTCATTATGGTACTTCTGCTATTGTTTACCCACGCGGCCCGTATCTTCACTACAATGCAAGAGACTGGGGACCAGTACATTCTGGCTATTTTCACCCTCTCGACCGTATTCAACATTACCATGGTTACACAGATTTTGTATTATTGGAACGCAACCATTGATGCCCAAAAGAAGAAAGAGTAGGAAACACCTGATGTTTTGATTCGCTCGAGAATAATCTAGGAGAACTTTATTTTCATTGCTATTAGTGACTACGAGAAGTCCCTCCATTTCGGCGAAGTCCGTCGAGCGAAAAAAGTTTGATGTTTGCATACCGCGGGGAGCTCTGTCGAGCACCTCGCTCCCAGGGCTCGCCTCATCATCAATTTTTTTTCGCTGATTTTTCGCCGTAAAAGCTGGCTGCTCATATTCTATGTTAAAAATTACGATTCAAGGACAATCTGCGAACGTTAAACCCCGCAGAAATTTTCGTGCTTCTTGCTGTTTTAGGCTGATTTTGTTTCGATGCAGACAGTGAAGTGAAGTTTCCACAATTTGAGTGAATTATTTTATTATCAACATCTGTCTACTGAGAAATATTTGGTTTTTGTAAAATAGCTAGATTTAGAATTTATGAAATTTGCCTGCGCTTATTAATTCTAACTAGTACACGTCTGTAGTAACCTAAATAACTATCTTAAATATTATCACCTGTGGCACAGGTATTTCTTAACGAGAGATCGCATAATTCACGCTTAGCGTATACCTTTAAAAGAACGCATTAACTGCTCGCCAAGCAACTTGAACCAAGAAAAAAATTGTTTTAAAGTTATTGACTAAAACATGAAATCTCTTGAATTTTTTTTTGTGTTGTTACAAAGTTCAAAACACACTTACACCTATCTAACTACCGATTAAATGCAATAAATATTAAATTAAATAAATTATCAAATCTCTGAGTGAGTAGACATTGCTGCTTTATGGAGGTTTCGCTCCGTTGCAAGTTCGCCCCCTAAGGTAAACTAGCTCGTCCCCATCTTTATCAGTACAGAAAAAGTACGTTGGTCAGTACTCCAGAATTATAACAGTGCCAAACCAGTTAGATTAAGACTGGAGTAATGTAGCGGATTTGCATCACTCGCGCTGTAGTTATGCGTTGGTTATCCTTACTTTTTTTATCCTTACTTTTTTTAACCTTACCCTAACTCTAACATTAGTATGCACATTCTCCATACTGTCCTCCTCAGTCAGGTAACGGCAAGGAGAATTTACTTAACAATCAAGAGCTTCTTAAGTTGATGATCATTTCTTTGATTCTCATGACCTTAATGTGTGATTCGGGGGTGATATTGTAAGGAGAAATTAGATGCTAGTCCCTCTTAAGGGTCATGGGGTTAACGCGGCGGCAGATTTGCAAGTTGGCGAACTCGCAGTAATGGTAGCGGGCGAACTTGCAATGGGGGGAAATCTCCACATACCTAAACTGTTGGTTTACAATGACGTCGCCGCTGTTGTCGTGGCTTGCTTAGGATTTTTAATACAACGTCGCGTTGGTCATCGACGTGTCATGAATACGCCATTGTCTGCTATGTGAACTTGCAAGACTCGAGTTAGCCCCAGCAGAGCTAATCATTGATGGAAAAGACTGGTTTGCCTGTGGAGTGAGACTTGATGACAAAGGGTCGCCGTAAAGTGATAACTGAACGACCTCAGCGATATTGAAGACAAAAGCGACCAGGAAGTACAAGATAACAGGGTACTGCAGGTGATACAGATAACGTGACAGACGAACAGGAACATGCAGATGGCTGAGGAAAAAAAATAAGTAAACGAGACGTTCTTGGCTTCTTCATTCTAGTGTCGCAAGACAACAACATCAACAAAAAATCAACAAAGGCCAGTAAGAGCAAAGGTTTGCGCTCAGATGAAACGTAGCTAATAAGTCAGTTCCCCAAAGTCCATGGTCAGATTCCCAAATTTCAAAGAGTGGATAACACTATTGAGTGGATAAATCTCTATTCAGTTGATAGTGCAGAAAGTTTTGTTGACACTTATCCGCTGTATAGTAGTTTATCCGTTAGAAAGCGTTATCATCCTTGGAACAACTAGGTCTTGGTCTTTAGCGAAACAACTTGCTAAGAAATAAGCTAAGGTTCTAAAGCTCACCTGAAATCCAAACTATGTGCTCGTCGCAACATTACAATAAGAAAAACACCTAATTCAGCAATCGATGTCAAGGATGCAACGTTTCCTAAAACTGAAGCAGTGCCCTGAAAAAAAAATTTGAACACCAGTTAACCTGTCATAAGGGAGGGGTGGGTAGTGCAACGAATGAAAGTAACAGGGAGCAGAGAGAAAGCATAGAGTCACTCACCACAGGGTTCAGTACCGCGACAGCAAAAACAAATCCAAACAGTGATAAAAGTATGAAAATCTTCATTAACCTGTCAAAATTTATAGGAAGCAAACTTCTTTAGATCAACCTCTCACTTCCCCTACCACCATCAAGTCAGAGTTAAACCTTTACACCCTACCATCAGTATGCATATTCTCCAAACTGGTCTTTATACATTTCCTAAGGTGCTGACAAGGAGAATTTGTTTAATAATCAAGAGCTCCTAAAGTTGGTGGTCATTTCCTTTATTCTCGTGTTAAGGGTTGATATTGTAAGGTGGAATTAGATGCTAGTTAATATCAGGAGTCGAAGAGATAAACAGAAATGTGAAAGAACTGATGGAAAGCATAAATCTCTAGGGTGAAACCAGATTCTTATAAACACAATAAAAAAGTATTGTATGGAAAACGGTGAGAAAATGAACATTTCCAACACATTTCATCACTGACCATCTGATATTAGCGCAGCAGTAGATTCCTTCCCATTTGGAGTTTTGCCAGGACGTTGAAGCCGTTGGATAAAATGTGTTGAACCAGCTGTCAACTGCAACATGTAATGAACACTACACAATGTAAAATGTAATCCACACTACCCTGCAGAGGAATCTCTCTATGAGCTGTGGATGGGGAGGGTGGAAACTATTGACTTAAACAAGCAATATACAACTACACAATGTAAGCTGTACTCCACAACACCCTGCAGAGGAATCTCTCTATGAGCTGAGGAGGGGGAGGGTGGAAGCTGTCAACTTAAACAAGCAGTGTACACTATACAATGTAAGATGTACTCCACACCACCCTGCAGAGAAAGTTCTCTATGTGTTGAGGAGGGGGAGGGTGGAATCTTCAGACTGTAACAAGAAATATACACTACACAATGTAAGCTGTACTCCACACCACCCTGCAGAGGAATCTCTCTTTGAGCTGAGGAGGGGGAGGGTGGGAACTTTCAACTTTCACAAGCATACACAACTACACAATGTAAGATGTACTTTACACCACCCAGCAGAGAAATCTTTCTATGAGTTGAGGAAGTGCAGGGTTAAGGCAAAATAACAGCTTGCTCTACATCATTTTTGAAAATCTGTTTCAAATTTTACATGAGCTTTCACCATTATAAAATTACTGAAATATGTCTGCCCTCCCCCACAAGGTTACACTTAAAGTCCCAAATGAAACAATTAACTTAATCGGTATTTTATCTCTCCTAGCAGTGCTAGAAGGTTCTATGATGCAGTCTACTCACCCATGTGTTTCAATCCTGTTCCCATTGTCAAAAATGAGACCGTTACACTGATAATCAACAATATTTGAATGAGAAGAGGAATCCAACCATAGGCTGGGTAGTTTGATCCTACAATCTGTGAGGTAGACAAAATGGAAAGAAACAAAGTGAACCTTCATGATATATCAGGATGAAGGGTATTGGAAATAAGTCTGTACTCATGGCAAGTGGCTTATCCAGATGGAGCTTATTCCAGTTTCCATAGCATGAAATGACCAGGAGTATTACCCCCCCCCCCCAGCACTTCATCAAGCTTCCTTTAACAATCACCAGTATCCATTTATGCTCCTGGTTGGAGAGAGGCATGGGAAGAGTAAAGAGGTTAGCCCAGGAACACAACACCATAACCCAGGGGGGGTCTGAACCCTTGACCTCTCAATCTAAAGTCCAGGAAGATTTCAAGAGATTTAAAACAAAATGATTGGTGAAACAGCACAGAAAAAGTGTAGTACCTTTGTTAAGGGATAAGGAAGTGTAACACCATATCTTGCAACCCTGAAAGAAATAATTTCTATCAATATTAAAATGTTATGTTGAAATGGTTTTTCAACTTCAAAGGAAAAAAAAAGATACTAACCAAAAAGTGGTAATTGTTACATAGGTCAACACTCCAGCAATAACAGATCCATAAAACCAACGAATCTGTGAAAATTTGAAGCAAAAAAGAATTTCTGATTTGAATTTTTTTCACCTATTTCAACCCACATCCCTGATTTAGTTATGAAAAATTTACATTTCACAGTTTTTTGATATTTCATTTACACAAGTAGTAATTATTAATTAAAATTAAACAAAAATAGTAATATTTGCAAGGTCAAATTTATTTTAGTTTGCTCCTTACCTCTGAAATGCAAGGCTTCATTTTTGCAAAAAGCACTGGGAGGATGTTGACAATCACTCCTGAAAATTTATTCAAATTGTATAAAAGTCAAAGGATTGCAAATATCTTAAACTGTGCAGTTACGAGGATCTATCTTCCAACCCTCACTATCAATCCCACCACACATCCAAAAATATTGCAAAAGAGATAGTACCCAGGCCAAAACCCTTCACATAGTTCCCTCAGTAATAAATATAAATGAATAATCATTGTTCTCTTTAGGTCAACTGATCACTAGAGTACACTCACCCATTGTAATTGTTCCAGAAACCAAAGGCTGACCAACATATTTCAATTCACCAAAAATTGGAACACTGATTATGTGGCTCTCTAGGTTCAAAGTTGCCCAGACCTGGAAAAAAATTGTTTTGCTGATTCTGACAATCTCACTAATAAATAACATAAATTTATAAATTGTCACTGACAGTAGAGTAAGTTGAAGAAGTGATGAAGGGTAGCATGTAAAATGTTCTTTAAAAAATTCAACAATGTAAACTTAGAAAAATGTGTTTTAAATATTATTTTTAAATTTTTTTTAAACATATTATCAATTGAAAAGAAATCAGTTAAGTGTCATTCATCCCTTGGTTATTGCTCATTGAACTTTCAACCATGTTGAATTCAAATCTATTAAACCCATCTGTCAAGAAAGGTAGTTGCTACATTTTTTGAAAAACTCATCTGAATACTTCAAACTGACATGAAAAGAAACACATATGGCATAAAACCCAACAACTAGTGACAAATTCCAATTCATCTTGGGTACAGTGGACAAAAGCCTTTATAATGAAGATTAATTTATAAAATCTGACTTAGAATTCTCATTATTGATTTTTACCCAGTCAGACTACAGAACTATGTACTTACGGTGACAGCAAGGATCAAACATCCTCCCCCAAATGTTAGCAAAGAAACAAATGGTAGGACACAGAAATTAATAAAGATAATCAGGAATGCACAGCTCCAAACTAAGACTGTTACTCCATAATCCACCCTGTGAATTTAAGAAAGAATTAAAGAATTTAAGAAAAAGGATAATCTCTTTTGTTTTGTATCTTCTCGCACTGTATGGAATCCAAAACTTGCTTTGAGAGGCAAAGACATGAAAATCATAAAAATATGTTGATAAAATTTAAGAATGACATAACTTATCATTGTAACGACATTTTAAGTGAACATACCAAGCTATTGAATAAAGTATTTTGTAATTCAGTAACAGTCAAATTGAAAAGTGAAAATAATTTTTAAAATGAGAGATTCACAATAAAATTCATAGTAAGTTTTTTAGGTGGGTGGCTTTTGGTTTTCTTGAGACAAGATTTGATTTGGCCGATTAACTTTAAATAAATAGATTGCCTTCAAGCTCAAAATTAAATCAATATAAAAATATGTGCAAAAAGCTCTAGTTTAAATCGTTTGCAACGCTTTGAGATACAATTATCATGTCATAAATAAGCTCCTGATGAGAAAACAAAGAATTCCACAAGAAGATGGAATAATTTTTGCACTTTTAATGGATTAACTGTAGATTTACTGATGCATGCAACAGGCAAAATGCAGAACACACACCTAAGATTCAGAAGCTGCAAACAAGCCTGACTCCCAGCAAGAGCATAATTGATGAGAACAGAGACACTAAAAACATCAAAAGAAGAAATTTTATACTATATTTTCTGACATTCTCAGAAATTCTCAAATCTGAGAACTGAAATATTTTAGAAATGTATAGGCATTGTATTACAACCAATCACTGGATTGCATCGCCATTTTGACTACAAAATAACAAAAATTAGTCATAGATTGAAAAAACTTTGGTGTAATGAGGAGTCTAATTCAGTCTGTAATCATACCAGTGATTATGTTTGCACAGCAAAGAAAGTGAGGACCATTTTAAAAAAAGTTCTTACAACATCAGTAGCACAATCACTTTAAACAACTGTTTGGTGCCATTCTGCAGGAAAAGCTCAGCCATTGTGTGAAGAGAGGGACAATGTTTGATTGGATCCTGACCATCTGTTGTCCTTAACAAGTCTGCCTCATCCTCTATGTCTGCTAGAGAGCACATGACAACCATAATGCATAAAAATAGTTTGTAAATTTATGGCAAAGTGAGCACTTGATCCAAGACTGATCCACAATTCAGGAACTTATACCACTTTTCATAGACGTGATTGGTTTTATCACTCCTTCCCCTGGCCAGGATACTACATCATTGCAGAACAGTTTGTAAATTTGTGGTAAAGTCAGCACTTGAGCCAAGACTGATCCACAATGTGGGAACTTACACCATTTTCCATAGCATGAAGTGATTGGGTGTATCACTTCTTCCCCTAGACAAGATACTAGTTCATTTCCTCCCCCTCTACTCCCAGCATTTCCTATCAGTTCATTGATACCCATGTAAAACTTCTGGATGGTGAGAGATACTGCAATTTAGAGTAAATTTTCTTGCCCAAAAACACAACATGATAACCAAGACAGGGTTTAAAACCCAGACATCTCAATTAACTGTCCAGCTCGCTAATTATTCAACTACCACATCTTCTGTGAATTTGTAAATGAAAGACTTCCCAAACTTAATAGACAGCTATTAAACTTTTAAACTTTTAAATTACAGAAGGTCTGGTAAAGAATGAAAGTGATTACAAACAATCCTGGTCAAGCTTCTGTTTATGAGGTGAGTCACCTGCAGATGGTTTTTCAACCCCCTGCCAAACCCATCCAGCAAACCACACAATGTTTCAAGCATTTCCAAGGATGGATTATTATAAAAAGACAAGTTTTAGGCTATGAAAGTGAAAACTCATAGCTAGATATTTCAGGATGTACAAAATGCAATGTTGTTCCCAAAGGTTAAGGTTAATAGCTGTCTATTAAGTTTGGGAAGTCTTTCATTTACAAATTCACAGAAGATGTGGTAGTTGAATAATTAGCGAGCTGGACAGTTAATTGAGATGTCTGGGTTTTAAACCCTGTTCCCAAAGGTTTTTCCTGCTCCGTGATTCTAAGCGAACTTTCTTCAAAATAACTTCCTCGAAACGACAAAGAGCACTATTTTAATCACAAGTAGATTTTTATAATATTGGCCTCTAGTTACATGGCGATATTTTATTCAAGAGCGGCACTGAATGCCATTTTATCTTCAACGACGAAGAAGTCGCTCGGTTGTGAGTTATGGCGCAACATATCTGATCTGGGAATAACACGGCAAAGACCTACACGTCGAGGGACAAAAGAGCAGGACAGCGCAAAACAAAGGCAGATTGGGATTTGCATGGGGAATGGAGCACGCAAGACTCAGCAATTTCCGAACTTTAATGGGTGTTTCTTTGCCAAGAACTTCCTTCACAGGAAACCTCATTTACATAACCAACTGGCGAACATATTAAATATTCAAAATGACACCTTTCCACGTAGCAATCTAAACAACTGCATTGTTATAGATTGCACCAAGGAAAAACAGAGCAGCCAGTACTGAATGGTCACCCAAAGTTCCTAAGATCATGTTAGCGAATGTCATGTCTTTAGCCCCAAAATGGATGAAGTTAGCGAGTTTATCACTCGTAATCATATCAACCTTGCGTTAGATTCACGGAAACCTGGCTAAAGGACTCTGTGTTGGACACCGTTGTTGACATCCCCGGGTTTGCTATTGTGCGTGAGGACAGGAAGACACTAGAACACGGTGGTGTGTGTGTCTATATTCAAGAAAAACGGTGCAAATATAAACAACTGAACGATTTAAAGTGCTGTGATAATCATGAGACATTGTGGCTCCATCTAAGACCAAACCGCCTCCCCCGGGTTTTCCTGCATAATCGCGGCAGTGATCTATCACCCCCCAAGGCCGATGGGACATCTATCCGGGAGCATTTGTTC